TACGTTTCTCGGTCATGGGTGGCACACACTGGTATAAGGGGGAGGGGATGGGGTGGGGTATATGCAAATATGAATTAACATATGAATAGATTTATAGTTGTACAGTAGCTAGGTTTTCATGACTGGATAGATAGCCTGTTGAGGTCTGTATGCTGTGCTCTCTGTTTCTCTCCTGTCTGATTGTGCCTGGTATTGTTGACATACCTCTCCATTGTTTGGCTAGTCTAATTGTTCACATTCCTGGACTAGTTTCCAGCCCTGGATTCTAGGCTGTGGACGTGAAAGTAAGCAGCAGAATAAGCAGTTAATCCTACAGCCGCGAATCTACGGCTGGCTGGTTGGCTGGCTGGCTGGCTGGCTGGCTGGCTGGCTGGCTGTCGTTACCGCTCACGTCTTGCCTTATCATCAGGTGGATGATAATTGTCCCCCACGATGAAATCGGGGAGGGGACTGTGGATCTGTCTCCGTCAGTTTTTACGTTATTCACATGCGATATCTCAGACAGCACTGGGACGATATTGACGAAACTTGGGTGAATGATGTGTCTTACCATAGAGATCCGGCATTTACAAAATGACACTGATTGGCCCAAGCTGGGAGCTATAGTAATTAACTGAAATGTGTTATTCACACGCAATATCTCAATTGGCCCAAGGGACGGGCGCTACATCATTCGTCTGGGACGACTTGTTAACTGTTGCCTTGTTGCAAGGAGAAGTGATCAACATTTTCAAATGAATAGATTTGGTAGATCATTTTTCATTATTATGACCTCCCCACATTATAATTGGAAGAGGAAGTGCGAACTCTAACATAGCCTATTAGCTAGAAAGGTAACTCCAAAAACATTTTTGCTAAGAACAGCTGTTTAGCTCTGGTTAAACAAAGTAATTTATTTTCATATTTTTTCCAAATTCATTACAAGTTAAAATCAAATTTAGTTAAAGTTCAAAATAACAAACAGTAAGCAATCAATCCAACTTACGTTAATCAAAAACAAAACAATAAACAACTAAAACACAAATGTAGTCAATAAAATAAAAACAGATGATCATCAGTCCATCAATTAGTTAATCATGGTTGGTCTGGTGGAGTGGTTGACGGTGTGTTTGTGTCTTTGTGTTGGGGGAGGGGAAGGGGTGGGGTGGGGTGGGGTGGGGTCTGGCAGTTGCTGGCTGGAGGTGGCAGTTGTGGTTGGTCAGTTCTGTATCCAGGGTTGGTGCTGGTGTTGGGGCTGGGACCTGGAAGAACTGGGTTTGTGTTGGGGCTGGGTTGGAAATCGTGCTGGTATCAGGGCTCGAAAACCAGGGGTTGGTGCTGGGTCTGGTGCTGGGACTGTGGGCCTGTGGGCCTGGGAGAAACAAAAACCGGGAACTGGGGCTTGGCTGGGTCGGGGTCTATAGAGGGGAGCAAGGACAACCTGAGGAGCAAGCAGACACAAGGGAGCCCTAGACCCAAAGGTCAACGGTAGTACTTCCCTGTGGCCTGCTCGCTCCGGGTGAAGCTGCTGGTTAAACAAAGGTTAGCCATGTGTTGGCAAAAATGAGTGTCCAAGTCAAGAAAGCTTACCAGCAGCCAGCGGCACTTGCCGCACTGGTAGAATATTCGCGGGTGCTTTTTCAAAGCCTATGTCCGATACTCCAGTGAGTGTAATTGGCTCCAATGAGTGTAATTTGCTCAATGTTAGGAGTTGAGAAGTGAAGTTGCCATCATTAAAAAGAAGATACTCTCCTCTTTTCCACTGTAGGTATGTCATTCGTTTATTCTGTTGTTGCTAGCGATATTAATAAAAACATTTCTTTTTCTTTTTTTGGGACCCCCGGTTGAATACCCCTGGCCTAGATTTACATTTACATTTACATTTACGTCATTTAGCAGACGCTCTTATCCAGAGCGACTTACAGTTAGCGCATACATTATTTTATCGAACCCACAACCCTGGCGTTGCAAACGCCATGCTCTACCAACTGAGCTACATCCCCTGCCGGCCATTCCCTCCCCTACCCTGGACGACGCTGGGCCAATTGTGCGCCGCCCCATGGGTCTCCCGGTCGCGGCCGGCTACGACAGAGCCTGGATTCGAACTAGATAACAAAGAGACATCAACACTTACCTTTAGACATCTGAATCACAGCAAAGACGTACAGCGAAATAATAATAGAGGCAACATTGGCTATTTTTTACTTTCCCTCATCATCAGCACAAACTGTATTTCCATCCACAGTTTTTATGCGAGTAAAGTCATACCGTATACAAATAAAAATAATCACGACACCTGTGATGGATACAGGAAGTTTTGGTACAATTTTATAAATGGTGACAGATAATTTGTTTGTGTCTGTAAAATTAATTATGCGCGGAATGGTGGTGGAAATGCCTTTATGCGCAAATATTGATAGAATAACCATCATATCAAAGTAAACTTGGAGTCACGCAATGACATGGTGTGTGATCCTCCCACTACGACACGGGAAACCATGCAGTTTATTAGGCTACAGATTAAAAAAATTATGATGAACTTCACAGGGTGATGAAAGTGCATGGTATGAGCTTGATGCTCCTTTCCAATGAATGTCGAGGGTCTTATTCTGGTGACATGATGAACGATGCTTGACTGCCGTTTTGACAAATAAAAACATTCCTGCTCTTTTCCATAATCTCATCATATAGACTAGCCTACCCACACTGTATCGCGAGCTGTTGGCTAGGCACATTTGCTATTTAACGCAACAGTTTTTGTGACAAAAGCTATCGGTAGAGTTTAAAATGCGATGGAAACACACTGAACATTAGATTTTTATTCGGTACATGAAAACTTAAGCGAAAAAGTACATTTTGTGTTCACTACGTCATCAAGCATTGATTTTTTTTATCAGTTTGGTGGAAACACACCACTGGTGGGGAAATGTGCATATTTTCTTTATGCAGATTTTAGAATATTTGCATGAAAATCTGTCGCCAATAGGATGGAAACCTAGCTATTGTTTCTTCAGCTTTTTTCCGCTGTCACTAAATGCCAGCTAAAATAAGCAGAATAACATGTTCAAGCAGACACACAATGAATCAATCACGTTACTCAGTACTCAGAAAGAGGCTTTCTTTTCCACAGCATCATCAATAATCTGATGTACTGTGTGTCATCACTGAGGAAAATGATGGGTAAGGCCAGACAGGTTTACCTGTCAGACCAATCAGTAATGGTCCTATTTGTGGTTTATCACAGAGAGGTAGTTATAAATCTGAAGGGTTAGGGAGGACGGTCTGGGAGAGGCTCTGGATTGGACCGGATCTCCTGACTCAGGGAAGACAAGAGAGGGCACGTCATACATCCCACACAGCCACAGGCTCCCTCAGCTCTAAAATGCGGTGTATAATGTGTGACAGCCGGACTGGAGGAGGACTGGACCCTAGCCATGGCACAGAGAGAGAGAGATGCAGACCTAGGTTTCTCTCTCCTTCTGTGTGTCTAAAACAGCATAACACTGAATGAATCAGCAGACTGACACCTGTGCAATAGCAGGTGTACTATAAACTCACCAGGGATGGAGAGATTTGAACAGGCTGGCATTTACTCACTCTTCAGCTGACTATTGGACCTTAGTAACAGCAGTCAGTATAATAATAATGTCATTGAAACATATGTAGATGCGTCAGGTATTTCTTTGACAGAGATGTGGGGGCTTCCTCTTTGAGGAAACCTACTAGAAAAATACTAAAAGAAGCAAGTATTCCATGATTTCTTAAGAAGTCAAGATAAGCTCTATACTTGGCATGTAGGTTTTCTCAGTCATGGGTGGCACACATTGGGGTTTATGGGGGAGGGGAGGGGCGTGGTATATGCAAATTGTACCGTACAATAACATCCATCCCCCAGGTTTATCTAGCTTTGTGGACAGTGTAGGAAGGAACACAGGGACCAGTCTAGAGAGTCTTATTATGATCTCTCACTGACTGTCTTAGGATACACATGATCTACCAACTTCTACCTCAGGCAATCAAGAACATGTTTGTTCATAGCTTTGACTAGAGAAAAACAAAGGCAACAGTATAGAATGGAGACTGTTTATTATTGATGTTTCAGCTGCCAGGCCTTTTTCAAGACAAGACTCAATGGGACAATGCACTGTTATGACCATACAGGGAAGAATGTGCGTCATTCATAACTTTGACTTACAGCAGAGCACATATTTTTGTATACTTTCAGAATAACTTATTGTTTAACAAATACCTTCTTTGTTCAGACCCCTAGTCTGTTTTTTATAGACCCGTGTCTGCCACATTCCACTTCTTCTGAAACACTATAGTTAATGTGTGTTTTTCAGGATCCTCCACTATCCCCTCAGGTGTTTTTAAATGATCTCATCCTCCATCAGTTACATTTACATTTACATTTTAGTCATTTAGCAGACGCTCTTATCCAGAGCGACTTACAGGAGCAATTAGGGTTAAGTGCCTTGCTCAAGGGCACATCGACAGATTTTTCACCTAGTCGGCTCGGGGATTAGAACCAGTGACCTTTCGGTTACTGGCTCTTAAACACTAAGCTACCTGCCACCCCACAGTTACACTGTGTTGCTTCCTTCAGAACCAGCACAGGCCTGATCATATTCCCCCATGTATTATAACACACAGATACAGCTCTTCAAGTGTGTTCACTGTAATACCATAATCCACAGCATAGCACTGACAACAGGGATTAATCATGGGTTTTGGAGAGGAGAGGAGAGCACTGCATTGCTACAGCAACACACATAATTCTCTGACAACCCACGCAGCTGGTTTAGACAGAAACCTTCTAAACCTGACAGAAACCTCTGTGCCTCCATACACACATGAAGAGGACGTGTTGTTCCCTCAGTGTTTCTCTCACCTATAGGAGAACACTGTCAGAACCCTCCGGTCCTGAGTAACTCCTGCTGTGTATGCACATATTGAGAAGTGATGCGGTACTCAGCAGTAGCCATGTGATTAATTACTGTTGTTTTATCTGTTGTGTAGCTTTATGCCAGTATATAGAGGCTACTAAATTCAGAGATGGGGCCAGAGGATTGGCGAGTGCAGATGAAGGTAACCCCCCCACCCCCCCACCAGCCCCCCTCCTCAGAATGACCTCACCTCCGCTTGCTCCTTTAACCTGACACGCCCTTCTTTCACAGCACTCTCCTTTTGTTGATTTTTAATGTTTCTGAGAACTCAGTTCTGCACAGGTGAGGGGAACTCTGCAAGCACTTTTCCTTCTGACCTTCCTCCCTCTCTCCTCCTCCTCCTCCTCCTCCTCCTCCTCCTCCTCTACCTTCACCTCCTCTTTTGGCAGCTAGCTACTCAACAACAAGCCAATCTGTTTGACAATCACTACGTCTCTACATCACACACACCCAGTTCTACCTACCAGCGCTGGTGTTGCTTGGCCAATGTGTACTCTTCCCCTCCACTCTGAATGACTTATCAATCATGTCTTGGTGTGTGCATCACTTCTGCTTTCACTGTGGGTCTGAATCAATTTGATTTGTGTTGGTTTGTTTGATTGATTGATTGTTTTGCGGGTTGCTTTGCCTGTATTGCCATAAAAGCTGTCACTTTACTGGTACTCCTACATGTAGAAGTTTGTTTTCTTATAAGCAACAAAGCATTGTCTTTTTCTGAATAGATTTATACAAACAAAACCCAATACATAGTATTATTATCTGACTATTTGACCTCTTTGGCAGCGGTTACTTTCCTTCACTGGCCCAGTACATGATGCTGTTGACAGCTTTACATGATGCAATACAGCCTTTCTCTCCAGACCACTGTGCTCACTTCCTATTTCCTGTGTGGAGGGTTGTCTTGTGCCTCAAGCCTGCTTCTGATTGGGCCTCTGCATCCTTTTGCGCTTCTGTTGCTCTTTGGGCCCTGAGTCCTGAATTTTTTTCCTTCTGTCTTTTTCTCTGTCACTCTATTTCTCCCTCTCTTTCAGGTGAGAATTTTGAGCAGAGTCCACTGCGGAGAACCTTTAAATCCAAAGTTCTAGCGCACTACCCAGAGAATGTGGAGTGGAGTCCATTTGACCAGGATGCCGTTGGCATGGTAAAGGAACTGCGGAATGTGTAACTAACACAAAGTGTATTTTCTTTAAAGCTACACCCATTTCTGTTTCCAGGGTTTACATCTGTATGTCTTTATGGATTAGAACCTGTATCGTTTTGCTGATAGACTAACCTGATCTATTCCGTTCTCCTCTCTCAGCTGTGTATGCCAAAGGGTCTGTCCTTCCGGACACAGGCGGACACACGCGAGCCTCAGTTTCACCCCTTCATCATCACACGGGAGGACGGCTCGCGGACGTATGGCTTCGCCCTCACCTTCTACGAGGAGGTGACCAGCAAGCAGATCTGCAGCGCCATGCAGACCCTGTACCACATGCACAATGCCGAACAATATGACATCCTGCACACCCCCACCACCCCGCGGTGCCCAGAGGAGCAGCGCCACCTCCATCCCCACCCTCTCAACCCCCACCCCCAACACACGCTCCTCCCCACACCCTCCATCTCCCGGCTGCAGCGCTTCAACTCCTACGACATCAGCCGCGACACGCTCTACGTGTCCAAGTGCATCTGCCTCATCGCACCCATGGCCTTCCCCCAGGCCTGCAGGAAGGTGCTCCAGCAGCTCCACCAGGCCGTCTCCTCCCCCCAGCCCCCGCCCCTCCCCCTGGAGAGCTACGTCTACAACATCCTATACGAGGTGCCCCTGCCTCCCGCTGGGCGCTCCCTGAAGTTCTCGGGGGTGTACGGGCCAGTGGTGTGCCAGAGGCCCAGCACGGCAGAGCTGCCTCTCTTTGACTTCCCTATCAGCCAGGTGTTTGAGCTGCTGGGGGTGGAGAATGTCCTCCAGCTGTTTACTTGCGCCCTGCTGGAGATCCAGATCCTGCTCTACTCACAGCGTAAGTCCTTACTTAGGATCTTTCTCTCTGATCTGCTGAACTTTCTGTGGTTTTCTGTCTATTGTCCCCAAGCATCGCTTTTAGAAAGGATTGTGATTTGTTATTTCAACAGAAATACTGAAAATGTAGAAGAAAAACTGACGGCGTGTGTGTGTGTGTGGTGTGTGGTGCATGTGTGTGGCGTGTGTGTGTGTGTGATGTGTGTATGTGTGGTGTGTGTGTGTGTGTGGTGTGAGTTGCTGGGGTAAACAGGCTGTAGTGCAGCAGCAGCAGTGTGTGTGCTGTGAAGGGCTGTCTCTGTTGGCTGTGATCAGTCCCTCTTTGTTTTCCCCTGCTCATGTTCAACCCCAGGCCTACGCTGAGAGAGAATGACAGTTAATAGGGACACATTCAAGATAACCTTTTTGGGAGGAATGACAGATATTTAGATATGACACAGGTCATTTGGCACATAGAAAAATGAGATCTACAGAATTGATAGAAACAGGTCTTCCAGTATGTGTGTGAAAAGAAACAGCATTATACATAATAAATCAGCTCCAATCAGGAATTGTTTTGTTCAGGGACCAATGTTGGAGGTTTTGAAAAGCAAATCTGCCTTTCAGCATTATACAGAATGGCGTATTCCTCCTCCATGGAAGCACACAGGGATTTACTTTGATCAGAGTCAGATTGTTTCAGGATTGGGGAGCAGGCGTGTTGATAGGATCCATTACGGAGACAGGGAAAAGGCAAATTGTTTATAAAACGCTAGGGGCTAGAGGTGCAATGCTGTGGTGTTGCTAGGCAACCCTCGCAGGAGGATAAGGAGGAGGACGGCAGTCAGTGATGCAGGGTAAAGATGATTGGTTGGAGATGACATCATCCTTTTTTTTCTCCAGAAGGCTCATCACTGCAGAATGTGTGACCTAAAGAGTGTTTTCTAGAGTGTGAGCCTGTGAGCTTTCCACTGAGCAGGGACAGGGTGTCGTTAGTTAAAACTGCATAGGCTGAGGCAAGTGATGCCCTATACTAAATATGAGCTGCCTGGAGAGGGGCTGTTCTAAAAATAGAGGCATAATTCATAACTCAGATACATAGGCCCTGGCCTGGCCAGTGTCTTTCCCACATACAGTACATTAAACCTCCTTGAAACGAGCATCTGCTGCTGTTTTTCCCATCTCTCCAAGTAGATCAATGGAAGCTTGCCATTTCCCCTGCCTGGCCTGCATGGTAGTGGTCCATATATAGAGCTCTTATTCTGTTAGCAAAGTACTCAAATAGGCTCCGATGACCTTATTCGTCTTAGAAAGGCCTTTTGGGAAGCAGTGTAGCAAAGGGGAGGACAAGTGGAGGACTACACCAACACTGAAGCTCATTAGATTTCCTCCAGTTGAATATCTGATGAATGACCCTATTAAAGAGTGTGTTTTCTCTTAGACCAGATTAGCTGTTGGCAAGGCCTGTGTGTGTATGATACTGTGGTGCGGTGTGTGGTTTGTGTGTGTGCACGCATTTGTGTGTGTGTGTGGATGTGTGTGTACTTTAATGTGTTTGTTTGTGCGTGTGCGTCCTTTCATTTGCATGGGTGTGTGTCGGTCTGTTTGTGGTTTTTCTCAGGAAGGTGGTATCATGCTCTGAAAGGGCCTGTTGTTGTTCACCAGGCAAGGTCAGAGCACTAGCAGACAGGCTAGATTAGTATTCCTTTCTCTGAGTCCCTAGCCCGAGTCCTGGGAGAGGTGGCCCGACCAGGGGGAGACCTGGCCTGGGAGAGGGCCTGTTCTGAGGGGAGAGGGGAGAGGGAAGAGGGCCTGTTCTGGGGGAAGAGAGAAGATGGGAGAGGGTCTGTTCTGGGGGGAGAGGAGAGGGGAGAGGGCCTGTTCTGGGGGGAGAACGGGGGAGAACGGAAGGCGAAATGAAGGACTAGTAGTTATTTTGGCAGTAGAACAGCAAAGACAGAGCTGTTACTGAATATAGGTTTGTTGTGACTGATAGAGAAGGAATGTAGATAAACAGGACTGGATGGATGTTTAATAATAATAATAATAATAATAATAATAATATGCCATTTAGCAGACGCTTTGATCCAAAGCGACTTACAGTCATGCGTGCATACATTTTTTGTGTATGGGTGGTCCTTGGGATCGAACCCACTACCCTGGCGTTACAAGCGCCGTGCTCTACCAGTTGGATGCCAAAAACTTGACTTGGAGAGGATTGTTTAACCCTGTACATTACAATACAGTGCGTACTGTAGGTGTCAAAACCATTAGCCTTTGTGACCGTATAAAACCAGTCAGTTTGTGACTCTCTCCTCTGTTGTTTGTGTGACAGATTACCAGAGGCTGATGACTGTGGCAGAGAGCATCACAGCCTTAATGTTCCCTTTCCAGTGGCAGCATGTCTATGTGCCCATCCTGCCTGCCTCACTGCTGCACTTCCTGGATGCCCCCGTGCCCTACCTGATGGGTCTGCACTCCAACGGAGAGGGTGACCGCACCAAACTAGAGCTGCCCCAGGAGGTAACCTATACACTCATGCACCTACAGTTGAAGTCAGAAGTTTACATACACCTTAGCCAAATACATTCAAACTCAGTTTTTCACAATTCCTGACATTTAATCATAGTACAAATTCCCTGTCTTAGGTCAGTTAGGATCCCCACTTTATTTTAAGAATGTGAAATGTCAGAATAATAGTAGAGAGAATTATTTATTTCAGCTTTTATTTCTTTCATCACATTCCCAGTGGGTCAGAAGTTTACATACACTCAATTAGTATTTGGTAGCATTGCCTTTAAATTGTTTAACTTGGGTCAAACGTTTTGGGTAGCCTTCCACAAGCTTCCCACAATAAGTTGGGTGAATTTTGGTCCATTCCTCCTGACAGAGCTGGTGTAACTGAGTCAGGTTTGTAGGCCTCCTTGCTCGCACACGCTTTTTCAGTTCTACCCACACATTTTCTATAGGATTGAGGTCAGGGCTTTGTGATGGCCACTCCAATACCTTGACTTTGTTGTCCTTAAGCCATTTTGCCACAACTTTGGAAGTATGCTTGGGGTCATTGTCCATTTGGAAGACCCATTTGCGACCAAGCTTTAACTTCCTGACTGATGTCTTGAGATGTTGCTTCAATATATCCACATAATTTTCCTTCCTCATGATGCCATCTATTTTATGAAGTGCACCAGTCCCTCCTGCAGCAAAGCACCCCCACAGCATGATGCTGCCACCCCCGTGCTTCACGGTTGGGATGGTGTTCTTCGGCTTGCAAGCCACCTCCTTTCTCCTCCAAACATAACGATGGTCATTTTGGCCAAACAGTTCTGTTTCTGTTTCATCAGACCAGAGGACATTTCTCCAAAAAGTACAATCTTTGTCCCCATGTGCAGTTGCAAACCGTAGTCTGGCTTTTTTATGGTGGTTTTGGAGCAGTGGCTTCTTCCTTGCTGAGCGGCCTTTCAGGTTATGTTGATATAGGACTTGTTTTACTGTGGATATAGATACTTTTGTACCTGTTTCTTCCAACATCTTCACAAGGTCCTTTGCTGTTGTTCTGGGATTGATTTGCACTTTTTGCACCAAAGTACGTTCATCTCTAGGAGACAGAACGCGTCTCCTTCCTGAGCGGTATGACGGCTGCGTGGTCCCATGGTGTTTATACTTGTGTACTACTGTTTGTACAGATGAACGTGGTACCTTCAGATGTTTGGAAATTGCTCCCAAGGATGAACCAGACTTGTGGAGGTCTACAATTTGTTTTCTGAGGTCTTGGCTGATTTCTTTGGATTTTCCAATGATGTCAAGCAAAGAGGCACTGAGTTTGAAGGTAGGCCTTGAAATACATCCACAGGTACACCTCCAGTTGATTCAAATGATGTCAATTTGCCTATCAGAAGCTTCTGAAGCCATGACATCATTTTCTGGAATTTTCCAAGCTGTTTAAAGGCACAGTCAACTTAGTGTATGTAAACTTCTGACCCACTGGAATTGTGATACAGTGAATTATAAGTGAAATAATCTGTCTGTAAACAATTGTTGGAAAAATTACTTGTGTCATTGTCACGCCCTGGCTCTGGGGACTCTTATATGTTGAGCCAGGGTGTGGAGTTTCTATGTGTTATTTTCTATGTTGTGTTCTAGTTCGTGTTTTCTATGTTGGCCAGGGTGGTTCCCAATCAGAGGCAGCTGATTCTCGTTGTCTCTGATTGGGAACCATACTTAGGCAGCCTGTTGGCACTTTTGTTTTGTGGGATCTTGATCCGTAAGGTTTGTGTTTAACCCTAGGACTTCACGTATCGTTTGTTTTGTTGTTTTTGTCGGTTGTTAAGTAAGTCAAATAAAAGAATGTACGCTTATCACGCTGCGCCTTGGTCCGCTTCATGTAACGATCGTGACAGTCATGCACAAAGTAGATATCCTAACCGACTTGCCAAAACTATAGTTTGTTAACAAGAAATGTGTGGAGTGGTTGAAAAACGAGTTTTAATGACTCCAGTGTATGTAAACTTCCGACTTCAACTGTATACACGCATGTGTGCACACACACGCACCGCGACTCACACACATACACACACACACACAAATACAAATATATTTTTTTGATTAATGCATGGAATTATTTCTCGAGGGTTGTATACCTTTTTCATTTCTCTCCTCTCCTGTCCTCCCTATTCCTTCTCTCCAAAAGGCATTTTTAATTGGAAACATTCAGCTCTAGCTGAAACCATTTAGTTGGATTCCCTCAGCCCATCCCTCTTTAAATGCAGCCTGTCAGAGCGTTAACAAGTCATTTCTAATCAGATTGCTATGCGGGAATGATGTGTGTGCTGAGAATACTAACAAAGACTTCCCTCTGGACACTCCTGCCAACCCCATCTCCTTCATCTGCTGTCTGATACACCCAACAAAGTGACGGCGTGAAATTGGCTAATCTGTAGAGAATCACAGGGCCTTACAACTCAGATTACAAACCATCCCTCGTTCCCTAGCCCTCCAGGCTTGTTTTTGTCCTTCGTTTTGATTAACAGTCGTTTTACCACCTAATTTACATAAAGTAGGAAAAATGTTTATCAATTTACTTATACACTGCTCAAAAAAATAAAGGGAACACTAAAATAACACATCCTAGATCTGAATGAATGAAATAATCTCATTAAATACTTTTTTCTTTACATAGTTGAATGTGCTGACAACAAAATCACACAAAAATTATCAATGGAAATCAAATGTATCAACCCATGGAGGTCTGGATTTGGAGTCACTCTCAAAATTAAAGTGGAAAACCACACTACAGGCTGATCCAACTTTGATGTAATGTCCTTAAAACAAGTCAAAATGAGGCTCAGTAGTGTGTGTGGCCTCCACGTGCCTGTATGACCTCCCTACAACGCCTGGGCATGCCCACCGCCAAACCGGTCATGCTGGAGGATGTTGCAGGCAGCAGAACGTTCTCCACGGCGTCTCCAGACTCTGTCACGTCTGTCACATGCTCAGTGTGAACCTGCTTTCATCTGTGAAGAGCAAAGGGCGCCAGTGGCGAATTTGCCAATCTTGGTGTTCTCTGGCAAATGCCAAACGTCCTGCACGGTGTTGGGCTGTAACCACCCTCATGGAGACTGTTTCTGACCGTTTGAGCAGACACATGCACATTTGTGGCCTGCTGGAGGTCATTTTGCAGGGCTCTGGCAGTGCTCCTCCTGCTCCTCCTTGCACAAAGGCGGAGGTAGCAGTCCTGCTGCTGGGTTGTTGCCTTCCTACGGCCTCCTCCACGTCTCCTGATGTACTGGCCTGTCTCCTGGTAGCGCCTCCATGCTCTGGACACTACGCTGACAGACACAGCAAACCTTCTTGCCACAGCTCGCATTGATGTGCCATCCTGGATGAGCTGCACTACCTGAGCCAGTTGTGTGGGTTGTAGACTCCGTCTCATGCTACCACTAGAGTGAAAGCACCGCCAGCATTCAAAAGAGACCAAAACATCAGCCAGGAAGCATAGGAACTGAGAAGTGGTCTGTGGTCACCACCTGCAATACCAGTCCTTTATTGGGGGTGTCTTGCTAATTGCCTATAATTTCCACCTGTTGTCTATTCCATTTGCACAACAGCATGTGACATGTATTGTCAATCAGTGTTGCTTCCTAAGTGGACAGTTTGATTTCACAGAAGTGTGATTGACTTGGAGTTACATTGTGTTGTTTAAGTGTTCCCTTTACTTTTTTTGAGCAGTGTATGATTTATGAATTACTTAGATATCCCATTGATAAATGCTAAATGGTTATCATTAAACATTATTCATGCTTAATGATTTTTCTTAAATAAAATGGGTTTGTGTTTACTTCTTAATAATTTAGAGGGTAGAGAGTGTCCTTTGTGAGGACAAACAGCCTCCATTAACCATGTTGTAGTTTACCCATGCTTTTACAGTTGATCAAAACACGTTGCTTTACTACTGTTCACAGCAAGGGCCCTTAAACATAGAGCCTGGAGGAAGGGTGCTGTGTGTGCCAACAAGCTTTTACACATCTTGAGCCGGTCCAATGGAAAGAGCTATGACGCATAAAAAGCCGGAGAATGTATAAATTGATGACCTAAGTCAATCTCAATATTGCCTTATTCATCCATGCCTACATTTAACCCCTAATACTCTTAAGATGAAAGGCAGCATGATCAACAATGGAGGGCTGATCTTATTCAAAAATAGTAGTTTGTTCCATTCAGAATATCTGTTTATATTATATTACTGTCTTCAGTTAATATCTTGAACTCATCCACATCTTTTCTCACTATGCCTCAATTGGTACTGCTCTGCTTTAAGCCACCTAGTGGAGCAAAGTGGTAATTGTTCTGCTATAACGAGAAAATAACTGTCACTCAGTTGGTTTCTCTCTGGTGTTCTCTGTTTCACCAACATGTTTACAATGAAAGCTAAACAAGACCGCCTGTCATTCCAGGCCAACTTGTGTTTCGTGGACATCGACAACCACTTCATCGAGCTGCCAGAGGACCTTCCTCAGTTCCCCAACAAGCTAGAGTTCATCCAGGAGATCTCCGAGGTGCTGTTGGCATTCGGCGTGTCTCCAGAGGGAAACCCGCACCACAGCCAGGGTCAGGCCAAACACCGGTGCTTACGCTCCACCGACATGGTCACGGACAGACGCAACGGCAACCTGGCCAGCTCGCCCCTCAACTCCTACCTGCTGAGGGAGAACGAGACCATCGCCAGACTGCAGGCCCTGGTCAAGAGGACTGGGGTCAGCCTGGAGAAGGTGAGAGCAGGGCCACGGTCATCCGTTTGACTGGAACATATTATTCTAGATACATAGTCTGCATATACACTGAGTGTACAAAACATTAATAACACCTGCTCTTTCCATAATATTGACTGACCAGGTGAATCCAGGTGAAAGCTATGATCCCTTATTGATATCACTTGTTAAATCCACTTCCATCAGTGTAGATAAAGGGGAGGAGACAGGTTAAAGAAGGATTTTTAAGCCTTGAGACAATTGAGACATGAATGGGCAAGACAAAAGATTGAAGTGCCTTTGAACGGGGTATGGTAGTAGGTGCCAGGCGCATCGGTTTGTGTCAAGAACTGCAACACTAGTGGGTTTTTCACGCTCAACAGTTTCCCGTGTGTATCAAGAATGGTCCACCACCCAAAGGACATCCAGCCAAATTGACAGAACTGTCACACTCTTTTGAAAATGACTAAGGTGTTTGTAGAGCAAAGATACTGTAGTGCTGGGAAAGGCAGTCTATGAGCTGCCCATGTAAGGTTTCACCTCATCAGCTGCTGCCTGCCAGCTCCAAGTGTTCTGTGTTCAGCCCTGGTGACGGAGGACGTCTACTACATTGCCATCAACAGAAAATTGGCGCCCATACAGAACCTAATTGCCATCTGGTTTGAACACGACACAGAGGGCCGTTGGTAATATATGGTAATGTTTCAGCAAAATCACATTACAGACCAGTGAATGGATAAATTAGCTTTTAACTACCGAGAGTAGGTCTCTCCAACTCTCCATATCTCTAGGAGCCCACAGTAAGCAGCTTATGGACTAGTAGGGGCTAGCGTTAGCTTTCTATGAAGAGATTGCCCTGCCCTGGTAGTCTGCTTTTAGCGCCCCAATTAGTGGGTAAGGCTTCAGGTAGGGTCATTGTGGCCATGTCCCACATTAAGGTAACCACCTGATTTACGATCAGTGGTGTAGAGCAATGAATTAGAGGAGGGCTCAGTGGGTCACATCCCTGCCATCTGATCTGGGCTTCGTAGCCATTACACATCTTCAAGTCTGTGCGGACACGTATAGGTGACTCACTCACTGTGTCCTTTTGTCTTGCTCTTGCATGTTGAGATCTGCAACTGTGTCACACTTTGATTGTAACAGAAGAATGTGTGTTTTCAGTTTTTTTTTCTCAATAAATCAAAACATCTCAGACTTCCTCTCCCATGCCCCTATCACTGCTCCAGCAGCTTGTGCTAACATGGAGATAAGATCATGTGTTAGAAACCCATACCCTCTATGGCAGGAGTAGGCAACTAGAATCAGCCGCCGGCCGATTTTTGTTGGAGCGGATGTTCGGGGGGCCGGAACATAATTATAATAATTTGTACACTGCATATTGACCACAACTAAGCCTCACTCTGAGGTCAAACTCATCCCAAAACATCTCAATTGGGTTGAGGTCGGGTGATTGTGCAGGCCAGGTCATCTGATGCAGCACTCCATCACTCTCTTTCTTGGTCAAATAGCCCTTACACAGCCTGGAGGTGTGTTGGGTCATTGTCCTGTTGAAAAACAAATGATAGTTCCACTAAGCGCAAACAAGATGGGTTGGCGTATCACTGCAGAATGCTGTGGTAGCCATGCTGGTTAAGTGTGCTTTGAATTCGAAATAAATCACAGACAGTGTCACCAGCAAAGCACCCCCACACAATCACACCTCCTCCTCCATGCTTCATGGTGGGAACCACACATGCGGAGATCATCCGTTCACCTACTCTGCGTCTCACAAAGACACCGTGGTTGGAACCAAAAATCTCACATTTGGACTCATCAGACCAAAGGACAGATTTCCACCGGTCTAATGTCCATTGCATGTGTTTCTTGGCCCAAGCAAGTGTCTGCTTCTTATTGGTGTCCTTTAGTAGTGGTTTCTTTGCAGCAATTCGACCATGAAGGCCTGATTCACGTAGTCTCCTCTGAACAGTTGATGTTGAGATGTGTCTGTTACTTTAACTCTGTGCGGCATTTATTTGGGCTGCAATCTGAGGTGCAGTTAACTCTAATGAACTTATCCTCTGCAGCAGAGATAACTCTGGGTCTTCCTTTCCTGTGGTGGTCCTCATGAGAGCCAGTTTCATCATAGCGCTTGATGGTTTTTGCGACTGCACTTGAAGAAACTTTCAAAGTTCTTGACATTTTCCGGATTGACTGACCTTCATGTCTTAAAGTAATGATGGACTGTCGTTTCTCTTTGCTTATTTGAGCTGTTCTTGCCATAATATGGACTTGGTCTTTTACTAAATAGGGCTATCTTCTGTATACCCCCACTACCTTGTCACAACACAACTGATTGGCTCAAACATTAAGAAGAAAATAAATTCCACAAATTCACTTTTAACAAGGCACACCTGTTAAGAATCTCAAATATAACATATATTTTGATTTGTTGAACACTTTTTTGGTTACTACATGATTTCATATGTGTTATTTCATAGTTTTGATGTCTTCACTATTATTCGACAATGTAGAAAATAGTAAAAATAAAGAAAAACCCTTGAATGAGTAGGTGTGTCCAAACTTTTGACTGGTACTGTATATCTATATTTTATAAACTTCACTCATTGGTTGGTTTTGGCCCGCGGGCCGCCTGTTGCCGACCCCTCACTCTCTCTATTTTTCTGTGCTGTGTTTTCCTGACCCCCTGTGTTTCCTCCCCCTCTCCCTCTTCCAGCTGGATGTGAGGGAGGATGCCAGCAGCAACAAGGACCTGAAGGTGCAGTGTGATGAGGAGGAGCTGAAGATGCACCAGCTCAACATCCAGGTGCGAGAGGTCTTCGCCAACCGCTTCACCCAGATGTTCGCCGACTACGAGGCGTTTGTCATCCAGCCCAGCCAGGACAAGGAGTCCTGGTTCAGCAACAGGGACCAGATGCAGAACTTTGACAAGGTGAGATCAGGGACTGGATTCCCTATATAGTCCACTATTTTTGACAAGGGTCCCTAGGGCTGTTGTCAAAAATAGTGCACTATATAGGGAATAGGGTGCCATTTGGAATGCAATCCCACTCATGACACTGAAACATTCATTTGAGTGGAAGTCTTCAATAGTCTTTAAAGCTTTTCATATTAATTAGCCCCCAGGAGTCCTCACTTCATTTTGTGATGTGATTTTTGTCCCTTCCAGGCCTCCTTCCTCTCTGACCAGCCTGAGCCCTACCTGCCCTTCCTGTCCCGTTTCCTGGAGACTCAGATGTTTGCCTCCTTCATCGATAGTAAGATCCTTTGCCATGATGACGAGGACAAGGAACACACGTTGAGGGTGTTTGACTTCCGCGTGGACAAAATCCGCATGCTGAACGTGCGAACGCCCACTCTGCGCACCTCCATGTACCAGAAGTGCACCAATATCGACGAGGCGGGTAAGAAAAGAGGAAACCCATTTTCACACTGATACTATTAAGGGATCATTGTCTCAGATGGTGCAAGATACTTGTATGTTTTTAAGACACACATGTCTCAAATCGTTCCTCACTGATTTATTTTAACCTTTCTTTGCTAACAGACGTAACTGTTCTCGTTTTCAGACAAACTCCTTAAAAAGCGATATGAGAAAATCGATTTTGTCTCCCCTGAACCTCACTCCATCGGGTTAGAGAACTACAAGGCTCACCTTAGTAATAATCCGTCCTTATTTCCCCTTGGTGGCAGGTTATTGTTTGTGCTTGCAATACATTATGGGAACAATAAGATTAGAGGGCACAGGTTTTTCTTCTACTCTGTCTTTGGGAACAGTCAGTAGCACCTGGAATAAGGTGAAGATTAATTTTTTCCTTTAACTATAGATTATTTCAAATTCCTCTCTGTAATCGTATGATTCATTGAATGCATTTCAGTTATGTACTAACCTAATACATTACACAGTTATCTACACAGTTGTAATAGTCTTAACTATGTAGCCTGCTGTCATTGGTGCTGATGATGTTGAGGGTTGGGTCAGGTTAGGGATGCAAAATTCCGATAACTTTCCAAAAATTCCCAGTTGGAAGATTCCCGGAATCAGAAGGGAATAAGCAGGAAATCATGAATCCTCCACCCAGGATTTCTGAAAAACCGGACAATTTTGATAAGGTTAACGAAATTTTGCAACCCTAGGTCAGGTGATGATAACTCACAGCATGGAGGTGTGGTGGTGAGGGTAAGGAGTCAGAGATGAGATGTGGAGTGGTGAATCTATGTGACTCCTCAGTGCTATGACTCATAGGCACTCACAGAGTGTCTTAACGATGACATAAGACTGTTAAATCCTCCATGACGGTTGGTGCTAATGGATCTGCTTTGACAGTACCTCATCCTCCTCCCCTCTCTGTATCACCCCAGAGAAGGCCATAGAGATGCGGGTGGTTAAGATCGACCACACGGCACTGCATCCCCACCTGCTGGATATGAAGATTGGCCAGGGTCGCTACGAACACGGCTTCTTTCCCCGGCTGCAGTCTGACGTGCTCTCCACTGGACCCATCAGCAACAAGTGAGGATCACACCTCCGCAAGAGACACTGATTTACATACTTTGATTGATAATACTGAAGAAATATGTTTGTTTTGTCTCCATCTTTGCTATTTGGCTTTCGTGTCTTTCTAAGTGAAGTTATTTTGTTTGTATGTTAGATGGGCGAAGAGGAGTGCTCCAGCACAGTGGAGGAGGAAGGACAGACAGAAACAGCACGCTGAACACCTTTACCTGGACAACGACCAGAGAGAGGTGAGAGGACATCAAGCAGCCCTAGGAAAACGGGATTAACATTCCCAAACCATATTCACATGGATTTTGTCTCTCTGTTTTTGTGTTATTGTTAGTTTCTTGTCGATTTCTTCCTCACTCTTCTTCATGGTTTGCGGTATTCACTTCTAAATCTCTAACGTCTGGAACAATTGAATTAAAGTCTTGTTTGTCCATTATCTCTGTTACTCTCTCCCTCAATTATTTTCTCTTGGCCTAACCTCTCTTTCTGTTTCTGTTTATCTCCCTCTGAAACCTACTGTCTTCCTCACATCTACCTACTTTCTCTTACACACTCTCTCTTTGGTCTCTCTCTCTCTCCGTCTCACACACACGCTCCCAGCATGTGGAGTGTTTGTTCCCGGAGCTGCAGCTCCTGCTGTTTCTAGACTACTACTGGCTCTCGCAGTCCTTCAGGCCCTGTCTAAAGTCTGTGACTGTGGATGTGGTATGTGTTGGCAGTGGGTGGGGCCTGAGCCTCACACTACGTCCACATGGCCCCTCCCCCCATGTGGGTCCTCACTCCCTCCTCCTCCCAGCATCACAGCTTTACCTTATACTCCAGATCACTTTCCAGGGTTTCTTCTCAGGTTTAGGGTTTCACTTTAGGGTGCACTTAACTCAACATTAAGAAAGCAATATTTAGATAGATTTGACAGCATCCCAGAAAACACATGGCACTGACACGCCTCCCAGGATGGATGTTGAGGTCAGAAAGGTAAAGGACAGAAACACATCATCCATCATGAAATGACCTCAGTACAGGCAGCTCAGCTCATTATACAACTGACTCAGAGCTCCTCCCTCTCCCTCCTCTGGAATGATCAATCCCTCACTGTAGTAGTTACCAGAAATCTGTCCACTGTATGCACTGTATACATTCTGTGGTTGGTTGCCCAGTGATGTGACCCTCTGTGTTTATGTGATGATGAACATTGAGCCAGATTGATTACTCTCCCTTGGTGTATAGCCTACTCCACGTGTGTCCTCTCTGACCCTGTCCTCTCTGACCCTGTCCTCTCTGTCTCATAACAGAAATACATCCAGGAGGCCAGGAACCTGGGCACTACCATCCGGCAGCCCAAGCTGTCCAACCTCTCCCCCTCAGTCATCGCTCAGACCAACTGGAAGTTTGTGGAGGGTCTGCTGAAGGAGTGCAGGAATAAGGTACAGTAAATACTAGTCTACATCTCACGCTTACTCAGACATATTACGATTGCAATGACCACTGCAGTAGACTATCACATGGATATTGAGATACGACACCTTCAGTGAGTCTACATTAGTTTCAATGTCACTCAGAAGTATTCTGATGTCAATGACCATTGCGGTAGACTATCACTTGGATATTGATATCCAACACCTCTAGTGTCAACCATCTGGCCTCCAGAGATGGTAATCTCCCTGTATGATGATGTGTGTCCCTCCAGACCAAGCGCATGCTGGTTGAGAAGATGGGCAGGGAGGCGGTGGAGCTGGGTCATGGGGAGGTCAGCATTACAGGCGTGGAGGAGAACACACTTATCGCTTCCCTCTGTGACCTGCTGGAGAGGATCTGGAGCCACGGGCTGCAGGTCAAACAGGTCAGTACACACACACACACACACTCACACACACACTAAGTATGATATAAAAACAGTATATATACACACTAACACACATGTATGCATTTAGGTGCATTCAATGCGCATTCATTCATTCCCGCATCTTCATCTGCCAGGGTAAATCTGCCTTGTGGTCCCACCTGCACCACTATCAGGAGAGCAAAGAGAAGACGGATGCAACGCCAGCCGGTTTGGGTCCCCCAGGTAAGCCACTCATTGAATCCTGAAATGTGATAAATGGACGGTGATGTAAAGCCATAACCACATCCCTCTCTCTCCTCCCCACATCAGGTCTCATCCACAACACAGAGAGACGCAAGTCTGACGCTGGCGCTGCCTTGCCCCCTCTCAAGGTATCCCTGATCAGGGACATGAGGTGAGTCTCCTCATCCATTCACCAGGTCTCCCACAGTATCAGTATCAGTATCTTCAGATGCTCTACCTCCCGTATAGACACTATTTGTCAAGTATCCACGTGAATATACATTTCAAGTCATATGGTCTTGAAATGATGGATGATTGTAAGGGGAACATTGCAAATGAAACTATACTATTCTGCCTGTGTTGATTGTCCCTTCTGTAGTGGCAGAAGCGGTTCAAATGTATGCCTTCGTACCTCTACGTACTTCTTTGAAAATGACCATTTCGAATCAAGGTGAGATAATGATTGATTGATCATACCGCAGAATGCAATGATTTCAAAGTGTTTTCACTGCCATCTTGTGGCCCACTGATGACAAACACTTTCAGTCACAACAAAACATTATCAATGATTCAGGACCATATGTAGTGGGTAAATACTGACATCAGCCTCATAGCCATGTATCTCAAGCTTTGCAGCAGGCATAAACACTTGATTTCCAGCTATGTTTAAAAAATATGTATAATATATACATATATACACCAGTGTTTCCTCTGGGAAAATGTGTAGCAGTGGGGGGAAAGGGACTGAGGAGCTCAGTTCTGGTGTCTTTTTAAAAGGACATTCTACTCCAAAATGAAATAAAATAAGTATGCTGACACCATCTAAAATAGAATTTCCACCTCCAGAAATTAGCCCAATAACACATTGGTAAAATTATTTGAACATATTGGGCCATGTACAGTATATAGCGTATGCATGGTCCATATTATCACATGCATATTATCAGGTATGCTATTAGCAGTAAACATTATCACCTTTAGCCCAACTGATGCAGCAAAGTGCAAATAAATAGGCTGAAGCATGGGGTTGCCTATCTGCATTTACCCTATTGGGCTAATCATTAGCCAGATCTCAAATGTGATCTTTTAAGTAGTTATTGTCATATTGATGAATTTTATGTCCCATAAACACTGATAAACACTGAATATAATGTAGGCCTACCTGTTAGGGTAACTTAGGGTAACTCGCCACCTGGGGTAAAAAGCCCCCTGCCTGTACTTCTCACAGAAACCACTTCATGTCACAATTTTCCCCCCAACACTTTCCCTGGTTTCCACTACACTTGCTCAACAAAAAATATGATCTGTCTCATCACAATTTTAAAAGTAATTCCAAATAAATAATTTTGATGTAGCGAGGCTTTGTACCCCAAGTCACCCTACAATTGACCCGTGTTACATTTAGCCCCACTCTCCCCTATGCACTCACTGCCCATATTTAGGAGTTGAGAAATAAATAAAGTAGGAATGGAAAGCTGGGATTCCCCTCTTTATAACAAAAACCATTAAAACTGCTGTTTAGCATAGAACACAACAACAAGCCAACTAGGTAAATAGATAAACTATTCTACTATGGGGTTGTTAGATTTTTCTATGAATTACTCGTTTTGTTTGCAGAGGAAAAGTACAATGTTCTAGCATCTTCAAAATGCACCTCAGCAGAAATATCTTTTCATGTTTCATATTTTTTGGCGCAGCACCACAGCAAAATGAGTGCAGAGGAAACACTGATATACACACTGTACAGCATATACTGAATGCTTAGCCTTCCATCTTTGTGCTCTATTTGATCAGACTTAACCTACATTCCTCATGGTCCTCATGTCTGGCCCCTCATGTCTGGTCCGAATGCTATACTAGCAGTGTCGAATTTAGCGGACATAGTCAATATAACTATTTGTTCAGCACATTTGAAATGTACAGCGACAGAATTCAGAACATAGGCCGTTCTTACAGTATTCTCCCTGTAAACCAAGTCAGAACCGTAGGATAAATAAAGGGGGCATATAAGCAGACAATGAAAGCTCTTACAATATTCAAAGATTACATTTCTCTAAAACAGGCTATAGGCTACATGTGCACCACCAGTTATGAGGGGGAAAGGGACCAAATTATTAGGGTGAGGCACATGGGCTACTAACAGCTTACTACACAACTTACACTTAGTATTACTTTCTTATCTACAGTATACATATCTCCCTGGCATATTACATCATTTATGCAGCGGCATACAATACATTTTTGGACTCACCTTGTTGTGCTGTGCTCACTTGAACAGGAAGGTGGCGCGGCGGTCCTTGTGGGGAAATTTTGTCATCAAACTTTGTCATCAAAGTCTGGCATTCTCTGGTGCTTTCAAGACCATGACGTCAGTGATCTTCAGGTCGGAGCTCTAGAAATAAGTCCTAGTTCCCAACTTGGAATTCCGAGTTGGATAACCGTTCAAAACGTTCCCAGTTGTCTTGAACTCACTGAAGTCTGAGATTTCCCAGTTCTGGGTTTCCAGTTGTTTTGAACTCACTGAAGTCTGAGATTTCCCAGTTCCGGGTTTCCAGTTGTTTTGAACGTGGCAGAAATCATGCTGGATTGACAACATTAATGTTTATCCTTTTAAGCTTGGAAAAGAGACCCTTAAACCCAGACATGGACCGCACACCCACTCCACTGAATAGCAGGCTAGTGATTGCTTTGCAACACTTGCAGTTAGCCACTGATTCCTTCAAAACCACTCATTGTTGAATTTGCGATTTCCAACGTGTTGTGTAATGTTTATGGCCGATGAGCACCGATACATTTTATCTATAATTTGTCTTCATATGACAAGGATTGAAAAGGATTTGCCAGTAGATTGTTGACATGATTCATGATGATGACTGCTTGTCTAGCTTGCTAGCTAAGATTTTGAAAGTATGATGTTGACATGATCAGTCCAATCAAAGCTACGGTAGATATAACGTGATTTGAAGTCATTTTATCTGTGGCCAATGACCTTGAGCCTTCTTGGATGGGCACTTCTAATGTAACTGGCAGCACCCAAGGGGCTTGACTTTTTGAGCTCTCCCCGTAGATTTTGCGGTGACGTAGTTTTCCCCATGAGTGACAGAACTCTGAGCCAAACACGGCGCAACTAGAGAACATTACCAACCCCTATGCTCCGTATTTTCCGCTGGCTGCCCCACCAACACAGAAAGCACTGAGCTAGGCTGAAACACCTGCATTTTGGAGCTGCCTTACTCAAGAAAGCAAAAAAGAGACCAAGTTTGTATGCGTCTTCATTAACTCAATGATTGTTTGCAAACTGATATGTGACATGTATTAATGCCAAAATAACATGAAAAACAGGCAACAACATTTATATATAAATATATACAGTGAGGGAAAAAAGTATTTGATCCCCTGCTGATTTTGTACGTTTGGCCACTGACAAAGAAATGATCAGTCTATAATTTTAATGGTAGGTTTATTTGAACAGTGAGAGACAGAATAACAACAAAAAAATCCAGAAAAACACATGTCAGAAATGTTATAAATTGATTTGCATTTTTAATGAGGGAAATAAGTATTTGACCCCTCTGCAAAACATGACTTAGTACTTGGTGGCAAAACCCTTGTTGGCAATCACAGAGGTCAGACGTATCTTGTAGTTGGCCACCAGGTTTGCACACATCTCAGGAGGGATTTTGTCCCACTCCTCTTTGCAGATCTTCTCCAAGTCATTAAGGTTTCGAGGCTGACGTTTGGCAACTCGAACCTTCAGCTCCCTCCACAGATTTTCTATGGGATTAAGGTCTGGAGACTGGCTAGGCCACTCCAGGACCTTAATGTGCTTCTTCTTGAGCCACTCCGTTGTTGCCTTGGCCGTGTGTTTTGGGTCATTGTCATGCTTGAATACCCATCCACGACCCATTTTCAATGCCCTGGCTGAGGGAAGGAGGTTCTCACACAAGATTTGACGGTACTTGGCCCCGTCCATCGTCCCTTTGATGCGGTGAAGTTGTCCTGTCTCCTTAGCAGAAAAACACCCCCAAAGCATAATGTTTCCACCTTCATGTTTGATGGTGGGGATGGTGTTCTTGGGGTCATAGGCAGCATTCCTCCTCCTAAACACGGCGAGTTGAGTTGATGCCAAAGAGCTCGATTTTGGTCTCATCTGACCACAATACTTTCACCCAGTTCTCCTCTGAATCATTCAGATGTTCATTGGCATACTTCAGACGGGCATGTATATGTGCTTTCTTGAGCAGGGGGACCTTGCGGGCGCTGCAGCATTTCAGTCCTTCACGGCGTAGTGTGTTACCAATTGTTTTCTTGGTGACTATGGTCCCAGCTGCCTTGAGATCATTGACAAGATCCTCCCGTGTAGTTCTGGGCTGATTCCTCACCGTTCTCATGATCATTGCAACTCCACGAGGTGAGATCTTGCATGGAGCCCCAGGCCGAGGGAGATTGACAGTTATTTTGTGTTTCTTCCATTTGCGAATAATTGCACCAACTGTTGTCACCTTCTCACCAAGCTGCTTGGCGATGGTCTTATAGCCCATCCAGCCTTGTGTAGGTCTACAATCTTGTCCCTGACATCCTTGGAGAGCTGTTTGGTCTTGGCCATGGTGGAGAGTTTGGAATCTGATTGATTGATTGCTTCTGTGGACAGGTGTCTTTTATACAGGTAACAAACTGAGATTAGGAGCACTCCCTTTAAGAGTGTGCTCCTAATCTCAGCTCGTTACCTGTATAAAAGACACCTGGGAGCCAGAAATCTTTCTGATTGAGAGGGGCTCAAATACCTATTTCCCTCATTAAAATGCAAATCAATTTATAACATTTATGACATGCGTTTTTCTGGATTTTTTTGTTGTTATTCTGTCTCTCACTGTTCAAATAAACCTACCATTAAAATTATAGACTGATCATTTCTTTGTCAGTGGGCAAACGTACAAAATCAGCAGGGGATCAAATACTTTTTTCCCTCACTATATATATATATATATATATATTTTTTTTTATAGCTAAACAGGTGGGGCTCAAAACCCCACCTGACCTGAATGACGGGTCGCCACTGTATACCAGTATGATTGTTCTGAAACACAACCACACTAGTTCATTTAGCAGACACTTTTATCCACACTAGTTCATTTAGCAGACACTTTTATCCACACTAGTTCATTTAGCAGGCACTTTTATCCACACTGGTTCATTAAGCAGACACTTTTATCCACACTAGTTCATTTAGCAGACACTTTTATCCACACTAGTTCATTTAGCAGACACTTTTATCCACAGTAGTGCTCAGCCAGGCTGAGAGGAATCCTGGAGTAGGCAATAGTTTATGGGATGCATTATGTGTTAAGGCAGTCAGAGACCATTGTCATGTCTACAGTGCACCATAGCCAGTGGTGTTGAGTCATGCAGGACGTCATTCCTGGTGTGGTGTGAAGTAGGTGGTAAAGAGAACTGGGCTAATCTGTGTGACAGCATGTTACTTACAGCCTGATTCCCCTGCAGGCCCCTGCAGACCAAGCCAGGGAGAGCGGGGTCTGGCTCAGGGCAATACCAGGCAGCTGTGCCGTAGTCTGTTGTAGAAGTCTACTCTGATCACATGTCTGCACAGACACACACGTCTTCTTTCCAAGGATCCAGAATTTTCCATTGATGCTTTTTCATTTGTGCTTTGTCGCATTGATATACGAGCACATTTTAATTGATAAATATTTATATTTGGGTATCTTTACTTTAAATGGACAATAAAGGTTGACCAGGTTGCTTCATTCTACATATTGACTTTCATATTTACCTTGCTGTGCTCTTCATTATTCTACATTGTTCTCATTTCTATTTCTGTTCTACAGGAGGTAGATTTGTGTAGTCAGTCTGCAGATTACAGATAACCATTGTTTTTCTTACAATACCATTCATGCAATAACAATCTGCATTGTGAATGTTGATCTTTTGCTCTGTTGCCATGGGGAACAGAGTGGAGTGGAGGAAATTGGGTTAATTCGTGAGAGTGAGGGGAGAGGGGGAGGAAAAGGGAGGATGTGAGAGGAGGAGGGGTGCATAGGGAGCACTTATAGCGCAGACAGTTCAGTGCTCACTGGCAGAGGTGGAGTGGAAGGGAATGTGTCTGGACATGGAGGGCATGATAGTGGCTGGGAGCGATGACAGGAGGCTGGCTTAAACACCAGGGAGTCTGGGGCTGGCTACGGCTTCTTTCTGGCTGGGCTGACTACCCCTCTCTCAGCCCTGCATGCTCTGGAATCCAGGGCTGTGGTGAAAACAACATGCAGCAGACATCTATCACCTTGTTCAGAGGGACTGTCGCTGCTCTTCCATCTTCTCATATATTAGGTTTGGGGTTCTGTGCTCACCTTGGCCAAAGGATGCAAAACATGCTACAATATTATAGACCATTTCTGAAAGGATGACTGTTTGTGTATGTGTGTATATGTGCATTTGTGTGTGTTTTTCTCCTCTGACCTCTGTGCTGTGTACTGTATCCTCCGTAGACACATCCAGAACATTGGGGAGATCAAGACAGACGTGGGCAAGGCCAGGGCTTGGGTGAGGCTCTCCATGGAGAAGAAACTGCTGTCCAGGCACCTCAAAAAGCTGCTGTCTGACCATGAACTTACAAAGTGAGGAAAACAACAAGGACTAGTATACAACGAGCATATCGAGCTAAACACAAATGTTTTTATAAGAGCCTCTGCCTCAGTAATTGGGATAATACCCCATTCCCTTTAGGTCAGTCTCCTCATTCATCCTCACTCATTTATATTGGAAGGTCCCACTCAGTCTCATACACATGAATCAACCTGATGTCTGAAAACTATGCATGCATAATATATGAGCTCTTTTGACAGATCCAAACGTCATAGTACAATCACCTATTAAACATTTACAATTGTTTTCATAATTGATGAGATGGTGGTGAAGTGGGTCACGTTCAGGGAGATTCATTATGGAGGTATTGCATTGGGACCATTCCTTTAACATTATCCAGTTGTTTACCAAGGAAAACACATTCAATCAGCTATTGATTCAGCCTTTTAGGCTCCAGACTTTTTTATTGTTCAATCTATAATCATTACATCATATGAAATGCTAAACTGATTTGTTTTTGTGAAGTTTTTTGTTGCTTTTGTTTCTTTTGCAGGAAACTATACAAGCGTTATGCTTTTCTGCGCTGTGACGATGAGAAAGAGCAGTTCCTGTACCACCTCCTGTCCTTCAACGCTGTGGACTACTTCTGTTTCACTAATGTCTTCACCACCATCAGTGAGTGCCAGCAAATACCATACAACCTGGCCACGACACTGAACACCATGTAACCAGAAGCTGGGTAGACTTCATTCAATTAGAGTAATAGATTCATTAGACTTCATTCCTGGCTAAACCGTTTTCCTGGATTTGAGATGCTTGCTGAGAAATATACTGAAGACAGAGGTAGCTCTTCTTGTGACCAGACTGTACTTGACTGAGTGATTTCAGGTTTCCCTCTCTTCTCTGTCCCACAGTGATCCCATACCATGTGCTGGTGATTCCCAGTAAGAAACTAGGAGGCTCCATGTTCACAGCCAACCCCTGGGTGTGTGTGTCTGGGGAGCTGGCTGAGACCGGGGTGCTCCAGGTCCCCAAGCACACTCAGGAGATCACCTTTGAGGTTGGTGCTCCCCTCAAGATTTAATATTCTTGGTATTGATAATAATATCAAGATATATTCACCTTAACATGACCTTTGCCCTTTGCCTTCTCTCTCTGTCACAGTGCCAGAACCTGGGCAAGCTGACCACAGTGCAGATGGGCCATGATAACTCAGGCCTTTACGCCAAGTGGCTTGTGGAGTATGTTATGGTCCGGAATGAGATCACAGGGCATGCTTACAAGTGAGTGAAAGATTTGGTAGCAGCTGCCTTATGCTAGAGATTTCAGTGGCATCTACTCACAAGAAAGACCCTGTTGAAGCTTTGGCTAACTGTTATATTGTACTGTGTGTGTTTGTGTTGTGTGTGTGTGTGTGTGTGTGTGTGTGTGTGTGTGTGTGTGTGTGTGTGTGTGTGTGTGTGTGTGTGTGTGTGTGTGTGTGTGTGTGTGTGTGTGTGTGTGTGTGTGTGTAGGTTCCCGTGTGGCCGGTGGCTGGGGAAGGGGGTGGACGATGGCAGTCTGGAGAGGGTCCTGGTGGGAGAGCTAGTGACACCAAACTCAGAGAATGAGGACAGAATGTGTCGTACGCCCCCCATGCAGCAGTCCCCTGGGATGATGAGGAGGTTCGTCACCATCTCACCAAACAGCAAACCAAGTGAGTACACCATTCAAATACACTGCAAAAATAGACAATAATAACCAATAATCTTCAACAAGGGACTGCACACACCGAACCGAATGCCGTTCGTCTGCAGTTCTTTCACCGTGGTGTGTTTTAGGGACCACACTCGGTTTGCGAATTACGGCCGGCACTCTGTTCAGAGGTACTCTCGGCCGGCAAACGCTACCGGTGTGTCCGTGCCTTTAGATCACTTTTGAGGGTCTTGTGTCTGCTGGCATGGACAGATATTGTCTGACTCTTTCCCATTATCCAGAGTTGAACACTGGTCAGATCCAAGAGGGAGTGGGAGAAGCCATCAATGGGATAGTGAAGCACTTCCACAAGCCAGAGAAGGAGGTGAGAGACACAACCCCCCGCCACATTGTCTATTATTCATCACAGTGAAGGAGACAGTGGGTCCTCTGTCTGTACACTGTCTGTACACTGTCTGTACACTGTCTGTACACTGCAGGCAACACTGATCATAGTCTCACTCACATGTGTTCCGAATGAACCGTTTCATATGGCCACAACTGATGTGTTGGACCAGGGTGCTTTGAAAAGAGACAATATCAGTCACACTCTTTTTCTTTCCCTGTCTGTTTTTCTATAGAGGGGCAGTCTGACCCTTCTGCTGTGTGGGGAGTATGGTCTAGTCTGGGCTTTAGAGCAGGTGTTCCAGCATGGCTTCAAATCCCCACGCCTCTTTAAGAATGTCTTCATCTGGGACCTCTTAGGTAAAGCCTCCAATACACAACCATTACACCTGAATATATACAGTATCTTCCGTGCCATGCTAATGGATGAGGTTGCTCTTATCGATGTCTTTTGTCTGTGATTTCTCCTTATAGAAAAGTCACAAGTGTACTTTGAGAGTGCTGAGCAGAGGGAGGTGACTCCAGATGAGAACTGGCAAACCAGAGTACGCCACTTCTGCCGCTTCATGCGGGCCATCAACAGCACATCTAGGAACATAGGCAAGGATGGGAAGTTCCAGATGCTGGTGTGTCTGGGTGCCAGGTAATATCTCCTCTGTAGCCTCACAAACACACACAGAACAACAGCTATCATCAGGAACATTTTAATGGGAATTCATTGTACAGCACTAAATGTCCTGGTCAAAAGGGCAAATGAGATTGTTTGAGATGTTTTACAAGACATCTTCAATTCAACTGAAAGAGAGGTGTTTTCATTATCTCTCTAATAGCAGCACAGCATTTATCAATGCGATAACAGAGTGGGCAGCTTCGTCCTTTTCTGTAGCGCTAGCGTGATCCCTCCTCCGCCTCCTGCTTCAGTTATTCTCCCTCACACTGTGTCTGCCTATCCTGTTGGGCATTGTATGAGTGTGTGTGTATTTGTGGAGGTTGTATACATAGAAATACAATTAAATGTTTATGGTTGTATAGTCCCACCTTAAGCTTCCACACACTAGTTCAAAATGTACAGTATATATCCTGCTAGTTGGATATTGATTAAGGCAGCCCCCCGCACCTCTCTGATTCAGAGGGGTTGGGTTAAATGCGAAAGACACATTTCAGTTGAATGCATTCAGTTGTACAACTGACTAGGTATCCCCTTTCCTTTTCCTTCGTTATGACAACTCAGGCTTCCTCTTTCTCTCTCTCAACCCTTTGTGGCAGAACAGGGCTCAAATGCACCTGCCACTTCAATGAAATACCTTCTCTTTGTTCTTTGTCAGAAATCTTTTTAAGTGGCACATAGCGAGACCAGACATGCCTAAATGCAACGTAAATAATACCTCAGTCATAACCAAGCTTGAGCCCTTCCTATCCTGTCTTTTAGCAGGTATGAGGATTTACTAAAAAAGTTCCCTGAAGTCAGTCTGTTAAACTTCCTGTTTCTCTCTGCTCTTCCTAGGGACCATTTGTTACACCACTGGATCGCTCTCCTCGCAGACTGTCCAATCACGGTGCAAATGTACGAGGACACAGCACTGATAAAGGACCGCTCATTGGTAAATTCTCTGATCAGAGTGCTACAGACTTTGCAGGAATTCAACATTACCCTAGAAGCTTCACTTGTCAAAGGGATCGGTATCTAGGCCGTCCTTCGTTTGCACCAATTGGACCTGACTAAGGGAGACTGTTAGGGACCACTAAAGAACAATTAAACCTTTTTATGCGGAAAGAGACTTGAACAATTAAGGCACGATTTCTGGCTTATATTAAAGCTACTGTTACATTTGCCATATATTAAATGCAATGAGCCTTTCAAAATGTGTTGTTATTTCTATCCTCAACAATGTTGCTGTTAGACGTTAAGAATATGTTTTCTATTACGATCCATGATTTTCACATTGTTGAAGAAGATAACCCACCTGTTCTATACTGCTTTATTGAAAGCTAAATATTTTCATTGTTATTGTGAACTGCTGACAATGGCTATATTCTAAAAAGGAAAACAAGGAACAAAAATTGTTAATATATTTTCGGAGAAGAACAGTATTATTTTGATATGTCTGTCAAGTTGCTTGCTCTGTTCTAATTCTAACTGTCATAATGCAGAGCTTGAAGCAAATGATGTAGAAGTATGCTTTATAAGTATGAATATGACATGGTATAGATGTTTGTGAAGGGTGGAAAACTGATTCACCTACATCAATATGACAGTGTGTAAGTTTGGATCAATCCCCCTGGAAGTACCGTAGTATGCAACTCTTCTATATGGAATAACTTGGCCTAAGAAGAGGCTCCTGGCTCCCCCCGTGAATAAGATAATGTATCGTATGCTAGTGATGCACAGTATGTATTCAGTTGGAGAAGTATCAGTATACGGCCATGTCAATGCTTCACACTTGACACACAACTCTTCAACAGTACAGTACTCATCATAACCATGACTTGGAAAGTGAGTCATTTATAAAATGACAGCCTTCATGTAAATACCTGTAACCAGTGCATCCTTCTTTCCAACAACTTCTCATTATTCCTCACCTGTTCTTCCCATTCCTGGCAGGTTTACAACATCATGTCTGTTCAGTAGGGAAAATTGTATGAGCTTATTGCCAGTTAAATTCATAATGAGTGGTACATATGGTTGCTATAAAAGGCCAGATTCAAAATAGAGCAAACAATTCTCCTCTGAACTGTTGGCGTTTCTGCTATGCAATATAATCCACATCACACAAAAAAATCAACCCAAGATCTAGATGAGAATCATTGGACCTCGTCCATTTTTCTTACTGTGCAGCATATGATGATGAATAACAACAGCAGTTTGATAGAAGTAGGTGTGAAGGATGTCTTTCCTGTGCCAACGTCTGGATTGTGTTGGTTGTACTATTCCATGTACAATCGACATGAGCATCTTGGGAGATATATTTTAGTTTTTCAATACTGATTTATTGACATAGCCGTATAATGTAGTGTTTACTAAGTGAGGAAATGTGTACAGTGTAAAAAATATATAAAGAATAAAATTACAGAAATGCATTAATATGGATATGTTTATTATATTTGTATTATAGGATTATAACTGACTGGAACACTATAAATTGCTATATGGTTATTGATGGTATTGAAAGTACACTATAAATTGCTATATGGTTATTGATGGTATTGAAAACGCCCCCATATATTTCCCATATGTACTTTAGAGCAAAAAGAATAGCATTTGACCTATCAGAGAAATCAAACACTGATAACAACAACAAATGCTGGTTTTAAAATGTAAACAAACTCATTCGCGCCATTTCAGATACCTGTTTTTTTTCTTGGCCATTCATACGTTGCTGATACGATGCTTGCTGGGACATGTAGTCTCGTGAGGTGTTACTACATAGGATTAGGCGGAAAGCATTTCCATACTCACTACTACTCCCAGAATCCAATATTATTAAATACCATGCATAGTGTGCTCCCATTGGTTGAATGTGTGTTCAAACGGACATGTTACACTCCTAATATGGTGTTTCTACGATGGGACACTTTATTTCATGTTTTTTTATGCTAATGACATTCTAAAACCCAGCTGTATGCAGCAGTAGTAGTAAGGCATGCGCAGTGTGTAAAAAGACAACGGCGAAGATTCAAAGTTTTTGTTCGGTAAGTCCACTGTTATTTACCGTTTACATTATTTGCATTTAGAAATTAACGTAAATGCTAATGTTTTACAGATATTACATTTAATTTCAGTCTGTCGCGTGCGAACTATATCAGCAAGGGGGTCATTGTAACAATGGGAGAGCATGGATGTGGAGCGTGGCGTGGTAGCTAGCTAACGTTAGCAGGCTAGCTAACAACAATAGTCAGATTGCTATTTGGCGCTCTCAGTGGGCGAACGTTTGAATTTAAAGGGAAGGAAACGATAAAATGATTGTGCGTGTTAAATATTACAACAATTTAATTTAAAATTATAAAACAAGCCAGTGTCGCTCAATTCACTTTTTTGTGCCGCATTTTTTTTTATGACTTCGGCTGCTTTTTGTTTCTTCACTGAAAGGAGTTCTCCTTCCCCGCTTTTTGTTTCGGATTCCCCAAGTAACGTTAACTGAGAATCACTTTCCCGACGGGAACATATCAGTTTTAAACACAGATAAACTATCAACATTGCAATAAGAAAAGCATAGTTACTTTTCATTACCAGCGACCCACTGTTCTAATTTGTCGAGTATTTGTAGTAGCCATGTTTGCTAACGATGGCGTCATTACATTACTAGCGGGGGTTGCCAGATGCTGCCATTCTATTTTGGTGGATTGCTTGCAAGCAACAATCATACAATGACAGTTTTGGCAATGTACCCTTGGTGTATTGTAATCTACTAAAGGGAATAGCTAGTTTGCAATAGTTGGCTAGATTTAGTTGTGTGAGTCTGTGCTCAAAAACCCATTCAACCAATTTCATCCTTTGCCAAAGGCTTTGGTTCCTGTCCCGCGAGCTTTGGTTAAAAATAGTCTACTCCAGTCAAGAAACAAAAAAGGAGATGGGAGTCGCAGCCTATAACGTTACTTGTGTATGCATAATAACCGGGACGTCTAGCTAGATATAACACCTGTGGCTAAGTGATTGCCATTAGTCGGTATAGTAGCTTGCAAGATTGATAAAAGGTGTATCTAATTGCACAGAAGGAATGTTTTTGTGTGTGTGCTGAGTATCGTTTTTTTTATGTAGTTAAAATCGTCAATTAATATGAGAAAGCTTGTCTCAGGTGAAGTTATGACATCATAGATAGCTGAAATTGTAGAATAAGGCTTCTAAATGGAAATAACCCAATGTTTTGACCACATGTGGTGACCCGCCCCTTTCCACCAGGGGAAAGCATTACAACAGTAACATAACAGTGCTATTACTATTCTGCATTAAATGGATGCCATCCTTTTGTAATCTATTTGTTCTTTCTCTGTAGGTTTCCCATTGATCATCATGTTTGGTTTTCACAAGTCGAAAATATATCGCAGCCATGAAGGATGTTGCATTTGCAAGACCAAGTCCTCCAGTTCACGCTTTACTGACAGCAGCAGATATGAAGAAACCTTCAGGCTATGTTTTGGGTAAGCATTAAGTCTTAATGACATGATAACATTGCATTAATCAAATACTTCCTTTTTCGGGACGATTAAACCCTACGCACTTTTATTTCTGTATTGTATATTGTAATTCATGTTAATGCTGAGTTTGCACCAGTTTTTCCCCCGGTGATTGTATGCAATAAAAGGTCAAACGAGTGATGGTCACCAGATTGAATTAGGAAGATGGCGTACCTTTATTATTAGGATGGCGTACCTTGTTTTTTTACTGTCTGAAGAACAGTGATGTTAACTTTGCACTGGTTCAGAATATGATTTAATATAGAAGTGTTTCCTCTGGAAAAATGTGTAGAAGTGGGGGGGAAAAGGTCACGGAGTGGGGGGGGGGAGGAGCTCAGTTCTGGTGTCTTTTTAAAAGGACATTTTACTCCAAAATGAATTAAAATAAGTATGCTGACACCATCTAAAATATAATTTCCACCTCCAAAAATTAGCCCAATAACACATTGGTAAAATTATTTCAACATATTGGGCCATGTACAGTATATAGCGTATGCATGGTCCATATTATCACATGCATATTATCAGGTATGCTATTAGCAATACAAATTATCACTTTTAGCCCAACTAATGCAGCAAAGTGCAAATGCATAGGCTGAAGCATGGGGTTGCCTATCTGCATTTACCCTATTGGGCTAATCATTAGCCAGATCTCAAATGTGATCTTTTAAATAGTTATTATCATATTGATTAATTTTATGTCCCAAAAAACGTGCATAAACACTGAATATAATGTAGGCCTACCTGTTAGGGTAACTTAGGGTAACTCGCCAATGGGGGTAAAAAGCCCCCTGCCTGTACTTCTCACAGAAGCCACTTCATGTCACAATTTTCCCCCCCAACACTTTCCCTGGTTTCAACTTCTCTTGCTCAACAAAAAATATGATCTGTCTCATCACAATTTAAGGCATTCCAAAGAAATTATTTTAAGGTACTAGGCGTTGTACCCCAAGTCACCCTACAATTGACCGGTGTTACATTTAGCCCCACTCTCCCCTATGCACTCACTGCAAATTGCAGAGCATAATGTGCTTAACCATGCTTCACCATGCTTCTGCTAAAAAATGGGGTAGTTCACGCATATTTAGGAGTTGAGAACTAAATAAAGTAGCAATGGAAAGTTGGAATTCCCCTCTTTTTAACAAAAGCCATTAAAACTGCTGTTTTTGCAATTGCAAGAATTGTGGTGCATTGACTGCTTGTCAGAATACATGTTTCCCTCCCTATGGCACTTATAGCATGAATGCGCCACTAGAGGAATATTTATCTAGCATAGAACACAACAAGACGACTAGGTAAATAGATAAACTATCTATTATGGGGTTGTTCGATTTTTCTATTAATTACTTGTTTTGTTTGCAGAGGAAAAGTACATGTGGAATGTTCTAGCATCTTCAAAATGCGCCTCATTAGAAATATTTTGTCATGTTCCATATTTTTTGGGTTGCGTGGCGGCAATGATTTTGCCGTGGAGCAGCACCACAGCAAAATCAGTGCAGCAGAAACACTGATATATAAGTTCATCTTCTGTCACTGTCTGTTATGTAAAGACGTTTACTGATTTGCTTGAGGTGTTGTTGTTTTATCATGTGCTTATGTGTGTTTTCATTTCCATTATTATTTATCAAGGTTGTCAGAGGATCGTGTGGGAGACATCTGCAATGCCTGTGTGCTGTTAGTAAAAAGATGGAAAAAACTGCCAAAAGGCTCTAAGAAGAACTGGAACCATGTATGCACCATATTTTATTTTATTTTAGTTCAATGAGGATTCACTGTGATTGTTCATGATATTGATGCTATGTGGAAGTTGAGTGATTGACATGTATTATATGACATTAGGTTGTGGATGCAAGAGCTGGGCCTGGCTTCAAGCTAACCAAACCCAAGAAGATGAAGAACAGTGATGGGAAGAAGAAAAGCAAGCTGAAGAGACTTCACAAATTCAAAAGACAAAGTAGGTCACTTGTCTTGTTAAATCAACAAAATTATAGCGTATAATAGCACACCTTCAAAATGTTTTAACCATTGAGTTTTACTGCATAAGTCTTTGTTTCACTTTAGTTGTTGCCATGATGTTGCCTCTAAAACATTTACCATGAGAGAATGCCACCAAAATGGTCCTGTTTGTCCTTTCAGACTCTGATGCCCACAGCACGACCTCAAGCATGTCTCCATCCCAGTCCCCCAGTTACGAGTCAGATGACGGCTCAGACGTGGAGTCCAAACAGAGGCGCCCCACTCCTTCTGTCTTTTCCTTCCTGGACCGTTCTTACTGGAAAAGGTATGTCAATGAAGTATATGAAATTGAAGTCTGTCTGGACAATCTAAATTTATTTATTTTAGTACTGTAATTTATCTGGGACAATTCTGCAAAAAAATTGTTTGCTTTTTGGACAAACTATTGAATGGATACTTCATCATCTTCCCTGTAGGCAAAAGGTGTGCTGTGGGATTGTCTACAAAGGGCGTTTTGGTGAGGTGATGATTGACCCACGTCTCTTCAAGCCCTGCTGCAGCTCTAAGAAGCAGGAGACGTTGGTTCCCCTTCCCGCCATTCACCCACTGCCTCTCCCGCTACCGGAGGCCCTGAAAGAGGACTGGTGATGGCTCTTGAGCACCCCCTTGGGGTGTCCATGGCACCCTACAAGTTGTCTCCAGTGGCAGACTACCCCCAAAAACCATTCCCTATTAGTTCACTGTGCATTTAGACGGCTAAATGATTTTCCTATTTTTGCTTTGTTGTGTGTATTTTTTTATTTTATTATATAGAATTAATGTTCATATTTTTTTTTAAGAAAACTAAAAAGAACCAAAAAAAATTGTTTTGATAAAGGCATTAGTTGTACTATTTATAGGATGAGGAGGCAGAATTCTATTTGGCCTTGAAGGGCACACTATCCAGGGGTCTGATTTAATTTGGTTTGCAACGTTTAAAGCTTATTTTCTGTGTTACGGTTACCAGCATTTGTATATATTATGTTCCTTTTGCCAGCATCAAGTCTGTTCTTTTTTTATTCTTTTTTTACAGCTGTCTAATTGGCAATGAAGTGTTCATGTGCTGATATGCAAGACTCTGCCAGCTAGATTTCTAAAACCAGCTTATTTGCATTGATGGAATGGACATTTGAAGTGTTTTCTTATACTTGTGTTCCCCTGACACTCAAGCAGGGGTATTAGATTTATAGCATCTTAATATATAAAGGGCTATGGGCTATGAGAGTTAGGGGTCTTCAGTGAGTTTACACAGTATGAATGGCCTTTTAAATGTATACATGCATGCGTTGTCTCACTCTTTCCCACACATTCATGGTTTGGCAAGCACTGAGTAGGATTGTACATTGTCAGATTTGTAAACACTCCGTATCATGAGCTTATCAATTGCTTTTCCAGCATTTTCATGCAAGTGAATCACATTAGATTGAGTTAACCCAAGCATGCAGAACTCATCTTTGCCTTGGAATGAAAACCAGCAATTATTTATTTGTCATTTGTATAGTCTTCCATGAAATGAAAATGCACATTTTATAACCATATGTTGAAGTGTTCTTGTATATACACTTGTGAGTGTTTTGTCCTTTTGGCCATGAGAACCATTTTAAATTACAGGATTGACAACTCTTTTTAAACCACTAAGTGTGTACAGATACGAAAATATTTAGATTGAGGCATTCTTTTATGGCATCACTTGCATTCATTGGCCAATAAGTGGCTAGCCTAATCTCCAAGTTTGTTACAACACTTCAGGAGGGTTGTGTTGGGTAAGGCACAATGCAGCAAAGATTTTGCAACCGAATAAGAAAATTAGCTTTCTGTTATTGGAAAACTTCTGGCAGTAACTCTGTTTTGTGCCTGCTGAATACCACCCATATCTTTGTCCTAGAAGATGAGTTGAAGGCCACAGGATGAAGGCAAAAGCAATACTTACACTATTCATGTTCTGTGTTTGTTGGCATCTTGATATTCTGTTATTGAACGTGTATTTTATGTTTTTTGTTTTGTTTTGTTCATCTACAGAAAGCAAATCAAAGCTGAGACTATGCAGACATTTTGAATGTGAGAAATGACCTAAATGTTAAAGGAGCAATGTTTGTAAGTCCATCTCCGCCTCTTATGTTATTACCAAATTGTTTTTCAGTGGTTTGTTTAAAAGCTATATTTCATATTTTTCATAATCATAATGGAACTTTGCCTCAAGGGACAACATAAGTTTCTGGTTAGTGGTCGGGTCAAACCAATAAGATGTGTACCTCTGTTAAATAATGCTCAGATTGCACCGTTTTGCAGTAAGTGGCAATAATTATTATCAGTTTGTTGTCAGACATGCAGACAGGTAGTCTGAGTGCCAGTCTGTTTGTTCCATCATGCCAACTTCTTTACTCATTGTCATGCCAATGAGTTTGCAAGAGCACAAACAGATCTGGCACCTGGCTAGTAGACAGGGTATCCTGTTGTGCAATGTTATTTATTTGCTGTAACTGAACTTCCATCACAGCAGAATGGTTTGTGTCAATATACTGTATGACCTTGGTTTTCAAAACACTTACTTTTGTGTTGCAGGTTAGTTGAGTATTGAAAATATGTATGTGATTCTTAAATAATGTCATTAAAAGGAGAGATGCTGCTTCCTTTTATCAAGATGGAAATTCTAAACTGTTTTTGTATATAGGGAAATGCCTTTTTATTGGCGTTTGCATGGTACATTTGATCATATGAGGTGTGCCTTATATAAGAATGAACGTTCCTTTTACATTATGAAATTCAATCTGTCATTTAATATTTATTTATTTCAAATCCATTTGTAAAACTGATGCTGTTAATTGAACTGTTAGGACCTTCAAGTCATTTTCATATTGTGCACTTTGGATTTTTTTCTTTTCTATATTGTTATTTTGTATCTCAACAACTACATTAGTTCTGTCTTGTAATAAAACACAAAATATAATTTTTGCACCTGCGTGATCTCATTTCAACCGCTGGATGGTACTCAAACCTTAACACTTGTTTAGTCACGGTAGAGATTGGAGAGAGGGTTGGTTTAATTTAGAGCAATGAATAATGCATTTTATGATGAGTTGAACTTGACCGCCTTTTTCCACTAGTTCAGTATAACAGCTCACAACTACAGTATTTTAATTTCGTCACCAGTACTCTTAAGAAGTGACATATCTGAGAAATGCCAACCCACTTCGTGAAAGTACGCCTAGCGCCACACAGGGGAGCAGTGCGCAGAATCAATGATCATAGGTAGGCCTACGATTCTGTTGCCCAAACCTCTCATTTTCATTTGGATAATCGAATATTGAGCGGGTAGGGCGCCTTTGATGTTGAACACTCAAAGGCGCGTGAAGTAGCTTGCGTGAAGGCTTCTTCAATATAATGCCGCATTCACGTCATGCTAACCTAGGCGGAAGAGTCGGATCCCGAGTTTCCCATTTGGAAGGTACCAGAATCAACCAATAGGAAGCTCCACGCAAATAATTTACTTTCATTTTAACTCTGAGGTCCCGAGATTCCGACATTGCATGAACGCGGCATAAATCCATGTTCCAATGTCGATTGCCTATTTAATGTCGCGTTCATTTCTTGTCGGAAACTCGGTAAATGTCAGACTCGCTTAAGCTGCGTTCACATGCTAGTCGGAACTCGGAAATGTACGACTTGCTAACTCGTTGTATAAGGATGATCCCGAGTTTCCCACTTGGGAAGTATCAGAATCAACCAATAGTAATCTCTAAGCAAATAACTTACGTTCATTTTAAATAACTTACGTTCATTTTAACTCGGAGGTTCCTAGTTCCGACTAGCACGTGAACACGGCATACTCGTTGTAGAAAGATTATACCCTAGTTTCCCGCTTGAGAAGTATCGCATAATCAACCAATAGGAAGCTCTACGCAAATAACTTACATTCATTTTAACTCGGAAATCCCGAGTTTCCGACATGACGTGAACGCTGCAAAAGCCTAGGCCTAGATCTGTTGTGAAAGTATATTCACTTGGATACAGAGCCGCGCGCTTCGACGCAGCTGTGCTTGCGCTTATTTCAACAAAATGAGTTTTAGACAATAGACGGATTTCAAAGGATGGCACTTTGATCGCCGACAAAGACTCTACACAAGTCTGGAGCAGTCAAGTGTGAAATACAATGGGATAATTTATGGCCACCATTATTTCGAGGATTGGGCATTCAGGGTTGTCCGCTTTATTCAACAGGAGGATGAAAAATAACACAGAACAGGGCACAGTGCAGATGTGCGGAGTTAAACTTATTTTACAAAGTCAGGCTTTTAAGGAACATTTCGGGAACCACTCTTTTCGTCCAGCCAGAAGAGAGACACATTTCCTAGGCCTACTTAAAACACTATAGGCTATAGGTTTATGGTTATAAAATCAGTTATACAACCTTATCTAATATTCTCAATTGCTTCTGTTTTCAGTAGTTTCTCTCTCTCTCTCTCTAAATTCAATTCAAGGGATTTATTGGCATAGGAAACATTTTTACATTCCCAAACCAAGTGTAATAGATAATATACCAAAGTGAAATAAACAATCAGAAATGAACAGTAAAATTTACACTCACAAAAGTTTACAAATAATAGAGAAAATAATAGAGACTATCTCTCTCTCTCGCGCTCACTCACACACACACAGTCACTCACACACACACACACACACTCACACACTCACTCACACACACACACACACGCACTCCTTTCTCTTTCCAAAGCGACTCGTGAGGCCGATTGACAGGTTAGAATGAAAATGAGGCGGACACTTGGTCACGACTTCAGTGCAAACGCGTCCTTTTAAGGAGAGCTCTAAACTTGGATCATATCACCATGGGAGCTATTTGTATTGCAAGGGACTTTTGTTTGTTTTTGCTCTTGTTAAATACTCGCCAAAGCGCTGCTCTTCTAGAGAACCCAGGTACGTTTTCTGAGTTTCAAAGAGGCTGTTTTTACGCACGCTTTATAAGAGTGTTTGCGCTCATGTTGTTGTTGTTTTCAAAGGATGTATAATTTCCAACTACTTCGCAGACTTAATTTTGTTTTACATTATTATAGTTTGCCCACTCAGTATGGGCTTCAATTGTAGATATTGGAACTTGATGAATCTCTTTTGTTAGTTTGCTTTTTTAATGAAGTCCTAAGAAGTTTTAATCTACCTACTAACTTGTTTTCTGATAAAAGGAATAACAAATGTACCAATGATAAGGAATGGGTCCTGACTTTTATTTTTTCTTCATTTGAACACTTGGGAATAATGGATCAGGGTCAATGGGATCAATGTTTTGTTAACTTTAGTACTCAGAACCTGGTGAATTAGACTTTTACCTATTTAACTGAAATTATTCAGTGTTGAATTGAATATCGGGGATTTAATGAGGAGCACATTCATCCCAGAATCCTAATGTACTTGACTAAAATACAGATTTTTGAGTTTCATAACGAAATGTTGTTCTGTTAACATTTTATGCCATAATGTGTATTTCAAATCCAGATCCATGCGCAGAAGGAAGTGATGATGGCTGTCACATTGATGCTATTTGTCAGAATACCCAAGCCTCTTACAAGTGCACGTGTAAAGCAGGCTTTAAAGGCGACGGTAAACATTGTGAAGGTAATTATCTCCTCTGTAATTCATTGTTCCTTTCATCACTCATGTTTGTATTCGGATCATATGAGACACATTTGAATTCTTTGGACTAAGAGCTCCATGGATTACCAATACAAGTTTCAATGACATTTGGATTATATATCATAAACCTTGGCATAATGCATGGATTTGTATTTAAATTATGTGGCCCATCATTTGAAAGGACCCTTTTCCACTAAATGCTCAAATGGCAAACATTCATCAATCTTGACTTGACTCCCTTTTCTTAGACATTGATGAATGCGATATCGAGTACAATGGTGGCTGTGTACACGAATGTAACAACATACCAGGCAATTATCGTTGCACTTGCCATGATGGATTCAATTTAGCGCACGAAGGACATAATTGTCTAGGTAAGAAACATTTCAAGCTATAAGGTAAACAACATTTGATGTATTGAGTGTCTGACAATCATTTAGCAGATGTAACTTTAGGCCTATACAGTGAATTAGGATGGCATTAAAAGTGTATGATATCAATAGGGAATTGGTTTATATTGTGCTAAGGCCATTGAACAATGTGTGACAGCCAGGTAAATAGAGATTTGATGTAATATTTCTTGATAGTTTTTCATGAAGACTTAGCCTAGAAATTCATTAACATTCATCCAGTTATTTCATTGTTCTGAGAAGTCATGTCCTGGCTCTCCCTGCAGATGTGGATGAGTGTGTGTTCAACAATGGAGGGTGCCAGTATACATGTGTCAACACCATGGGAAGTTATGAGTGCCGCTGCAAAGAGGGCTTCTTCCTCAGTGACAACCAGCACACATGTATCCACCGCTCTGTGGGTGAGTACCCCTGGAATACCTGCCCTGTGATGGCTTCCAACTCTCCTTCCCACCTTCAAATGTGTGTATGTGTGTGTATGTGTGTGTGTCTGTGTGTCTGTCTGTGTGTGAATGCGTGAGTGTGTGTGTGCACGCATGTCTGTTGTGTCTCGGTCCATCCATGTTTCTGTATGTTTGTGTCTCAGTCTATGTGTGTTTGTGTGTGTGCGTCCCTATGTGTGTGTGTATGTGTGTGTGTGTTATGGTAGGCTACTAAGCCGTGTCAGGGGCACAGCAGAGAATTATGGAGCTAATTCTCGAATGTTCACATACAAGAGTGTGATTGACAGCACAATGAGGGATGACAGCTGTTAAGTCGGGTCCCCTCTCTGTGGCATTATCTAGAGCAGTCGGGGTTCCAAAGGGCCCATGCTGTGGGAAAAAGAGCCCTGTGTCCCAGAGAACAAAACAAGTTAATAACTGCAACACTTGGGCTTTTGTGGCCTGTGTCTTACATTAGAATAAAGCTCCCTTTTATGTGTCGGTAGCTTCTTAGCCACAGGTGTTTTTTTATTCTCACTAAATGGAATGAAGAGATGCAAAAGCTTTTCACTACATTGGGTTTCCCTTGGAAAAGTTGCTAAATCCTACCAGCACATCCACTCAGCCGTTGCAGCATAAGTTTAAAGAAGCTGCTCTCTCTACGGTGACCTGGGAGAAGGCCAATGATGGTATTAGGTTAGAAGATAATAATATGATTCTGACTCCCATACGCACTGAGTGTACAAAACATTATGGACACCTGCTCTTTCCATGACATATACTGACCAGGTGAATCCAGGTGAAAGCTATGATCCCTTATTGATGTCACTTGTTAAATCCAGTTCAATCAGTGTAGATGAAGGGGAGGAGACAGGTTAAATGAAGGATTTTTAAGCCTTGAGACATTTTAGACATTGTGTATGTGTGCCATTCAGAGGGTGAATGGGCAAGACAAAATATTTAAGCCGACTTGACACAACTGTGGGAAGCATTGGGGTCAACATGGGCCAGCATCCCTGTGGAACGCTTTCAATACCTTGTAGAGCCCATGCACCAACGAATTGAAGCTGTTCTGAGGGCAAAAGGGGGGTCCACTGCACATTTGATGGGTCCACTGCACTTGCATGTCAGCTGAATGCATCAGCCCTCTCTAGGAAGTGGTATTGTTGGTCCATGGGTTGTGGCAGATTTCTAGTCAGGGGGCTTCAATAATCTATCTTGAGACATCATTGATGTTGCGCAGTGTGAGTTGTTTTGCCTCTGTATTTCATTACGAAGTACTATATGTAACAACATGTGAATACAATGTTGTTAGTAGTGTAATTACAGTGTTATTACACAGGTATAGGAGCAACCTAATGTAAAGTGTTACCTCTCTTTCCCAGAGGGCCTTAGCTGTATGAATAAGGAGCATGGCTGTGCTCACATCTGCAAGGAGACACCCAAGGGAGGAGTGGCCTGCGAGTGCCGCCCAGGATTCGAGCTGGCCAGGAACCAAAGAGGCTGCATCTGTATGTGTGAAGTTTTGTGATTGAACGTATAGCCAGGTCAACCAAGAGTCTTGTTTAGATAACACATCAGTTGAACTTTGGAAATTGACCCAAGTTTTGTGTCATTGGCATAGTGACCTGTAACCATGGTAACGGGGGCTGCCAGCACACCTGCGAGGACATGGAGCAGGGGCCCATCTGCAGGTGTCATGTGAGGTACACCCTGCACCCTGATGGCAGGTCCTGTGTAGGTAAGAGATGACCAACCACAAACCACATCCAGGCCTACTTACATACCTGGTACTTACCTGTAAGCATCTCTACGTATGGCAAACCAGTTTACTTAGTCAACATCGGTGAAATGGACTGAATCCTTCTAGATATTTCCATCTGTACACTTCTTCATTCTCCTCCTTTTTGTTACTCTCCCCCACTGAAACGCACCTGTTTAAATGATCACATCTTGAGCCTGTGGATGAAATGGCAATCCTTTTGAGGAGCTTGCCAGCTCTCCTGATAGCCAGTGTGTATTTCTTCCATTTGCACACCGTGGATATGATAAGCATCAGCCATCAGATAGGAAGGAGACGTACAGTAGTATCTGTTCCTCCCGCGGCGCTGCTGTGTGTGTGGGGTCCTGGATTATCACTGAGTTGTCTCCATCTCCATCTCACAGTTCCATCTCCTGTCTTATCTGCCACACGCATAGACAGCCACACTGCATGCCTTAGGTGTAAACATGCTACTTGTTACAGAGAGGAACACAGAAGAACATCCAGGGGAGGTAGACTACACTTACAGCGCGCCAAGGCATGCACTGTGCAGTTCAGCTACTGTGCATCAGCAGACAGAACAGAACAGGAGGCAACTTAGTGCAAACCATTTTCTTAAATGTTGACTTATGTTTATTTTAGTTAGGCTAAAACACTGTGTATGTATCTATGTGTATTCTGTTGGTTAGGTTACTGACTGTTACTCACGTCACCCACTGTCTGTGTTACAGAGCGGGATGAGACAACTACTGAGAGCTCTGATCACAACGCCATGTCCTTCACTGAGGTTGACAAACGTGTCAAGCGCAGACTGCTCATGGGTAAAAATTGTATAATTGCACAATTTCCACTGTTATTACCCATTGTTACCTATACAGCCTAAAATAACAAAACCAAACAGACTCAGCTACTGACTGAGAGGATTCTGTCAGTTGGACTATTTGAATGACTAGTTACCATGGGTTACGCCGCCAGGAATCAGCCAGAGGTGTTTTTCAAAGGGGAGAAGAGCAAGGCCCAGTAAACTAAGGCATTCCACAGGCTTTAGAGCAAACTGTGAAATGACTATGGACCCTTACTTTCTCACCACCCAATTCCTCCCCTGAAAAATATGCTTTTGTGACAGTGTGGTACATTTCACATGTTTTCCTTCCGTTTAGGATGGGGATGGCGTTGGGTTGCCCAATGTATAGCACTGTCAGTCATGGTGTGCTGAGTCAATGTTCACACCTAGTAAAACACTGTATTGACTGTATGTATGTGACTGGGTTGCTAGCTCAGTGTCTATGACTACTGCTGTTGTCTACTCAATGTCTGTTGGTAGGGTTAAAAACCAGACTTTGGCAATAGCACAATAACGACAGTACATTATGTATAGGCATTTTTATAACACTTTATTCAGTACAGTACACAACAGGAGCATGTTGACATTGAATCTATTCACGTTGGCCTTTCAGAGAACTGTGCCGTGAATAACGGGGGGTGTGACTCCACCTGTAAGGACACATCCACAGGCGTACGCTGCAGCTGCCCTGTGGGCTTCACTCTGCAGCCTGACGGGAAGACGTGCAAAGGTCAGACCAGCCGTCCACCAAGAATCTCAACTCCATCTCTATGGCCTGCCTCCAAAATGGCACCCTATTCCCTATTTAGTGCACTACTTTTGACCTGGGCCCATAGGGCTCTGGTCAAAAGTAATGCACTTTATAGGGAATAGGTGCCATTTTGGAGGCAGGCCATCTTTATCTCCATCTCTTATTATTCAGGTCAATGTACTTTTATTTAACAAGCTTCACATCTCCCCTCCATAGGTATTTGGACAGTGAAGCTAACATTTTTCATTTGGCTCTACACTCCAGTATTTTGGATTTGATCAAATGTTTCATATGAGGCTACAGTACAGAATGTCACCTTTTATTTTAGAGTATTTTCATACATATCTGTTTTACCGTTTAAAAATGAAAACACTTTATGTATCAAGTTCCCCCCCTTGTGAAGAATTCATAAGTATTTGGACAAATTCACTTATAGTGTATAAAAGTAGTCAAAAGTTTAGTATTTGGTCCCATATTCCTTGCACGCAATGACTATATCAAGCTTGTGACTTTACAAACTCATTGGATGCATTTGCAGTTTTTTTTGGTTGTGTTTTGGGTTATGTTTTGCCCAACAGGAACTGAATGGTTAAATGATGACTGGAGTAATTTTCTTTCTAAGTGAGTAGATAAGATGTTTCTGAATAATTCTAAATTAATCCTGATAATGCCATGATTAAGAAAGATCATGAAAGAATCATAAATAATGATGAGTGAGATCATTGTTTCTGCCTCTGTAACCTTCTCACTCATCATTATTCAAGAATCATCCAGAATCATCGTAGCGTCCACATGAATGTAGAAGTGTTCAGAAACGTATTCTATTCTTACTTACAATAAAAGTGACTCCAAAATGGCACAAGACATTATTCACCATTCAGTTCCTATTGGGCAAAACATAACCCAAAACACAACCTAAACAAACCGCAATGCTTGATGTAGTTTTTGCTTGCAAGGATAATGGGACCAAGTGCTAACCTTTTGACAACTTTAATACACTAAAAGTGATATACTTATGACTTCTTTAAATGGGGGGACTAGATACATAAAGTGCTTTCATTCTAAACAGCAAAACAGAAATGTATCGAAATACCCTCAAATAAAAGCTGACATTATGTACAGTTTCATAAGTATAGAGACACATTAAAAAAAATTGCTTCACTGTCCAAATACATATGGAGGGGAGTGTATGTCTGTCTGAATAATAACTGTTTTATCATTTGCCTTTCACAGACATTAATGAGTGTGAGCTACACAACGGTGGTTGCGACCACTTCTGCAGGAACACCATCGGCAGCTTTGAGTGCAACTGCTGGAAGGGCTTCAAGCTGCTTACTGACGAGCACTCCTGCCAGGGTAGGCCTCTTCTCTTCACTCTCCTGCCTGTCTGCCCTACATCTGGGGAAGGGGCTGAGACAGCACACTATACTGGGCTGTTGTTCTGTGTAGGTGTGCTGGTGGAAGATAAGACAGAGGGTGGGAGGCTGAACGGTTTGCCAGTATCGACTTGCAGGATTCCTCTGAAGATCCTTAACATGTGCTAGTATAAAGCTTAACGTTTACTACAAACTGATTTCTTCCCTCTGATACAACGCGTCATTAAGACGTTGCTGTCTCTATCATTAACTATCAAAAGACAATGCCACATTTCATCACGTAGTGAGACCATGCTGTACCATGTAAAACCCCAATATCTACTACCTTAAATTGAAAAAGAATATCCCTCTGCTTTTGATTACAGATATAGACGAGTGTTATTTCGAAAGGACATGTGGTCACACGTGTGTGAACTCCCCTGGTGGTTTTGAGTGTGTTTGCAACAAAGGGTACACCCTGTATGGACTGGCCCACTGTGGAGGTAAGACTATACGATGAATGCTTATGGGGCATTATACTTATGGTATGGGGAAAGGGCTTTGACACCATTCTGAATAGTTCATGTTGGTGTTTTCTATAAGACTAATGTGTATAGGGTATTATGCTTATGGTGAAAAAGCTTTGGTACCATCTATACCATTTCACACCATTCTGAATAGTTCATGTTGGTGTTTTTAGTAGTTTTTTGCTGAAAAAAGGATGGATGCTTTATGAATGAAGTGAGGTGAGAGATGCTGCTAATAACATATGGATGTTTTCCCTGCTTTCTTCTCAGACATAAATGAGTGCAGTGTGAACAATGGAGGTTGTGAGCAGGGTTGTGAGAACACCATGGGTGGGTTTGAGTGCCACTGCCACCCTGGCGATAAGCTACACTGGAACAAAAAGGATTGTATCGGTAAGACAGTGCCCCTTCAGGCCTGGGGGGGCTCTAGAAGGTTTAGGGTGTGTGCCGTGCACGGTTTGGTGTGTGTGCTCCCTGAGTTGTCCTTTGGGGAGTGTTTGACATCAAATCAGTGGTTGTATCACATGTATGTTTTGAAACTTTTGGGGACTAAAAACAGGAGATACTTTGAGTTATTTTCTTCTCTTTCTCTTTACTGCTCTGTGTCTTTCTCTCTGGTCTTTTGTTTAAAACCTAGGACAAAAACAGAAAAAAGGCAATTGCTGTTGTTCCCATTGTCTTCTTGTCTCCTTGGATAGGTTTCACTCTGTTCCCACAACTTCTCACAACTTCTATGTCTGTCTGTCTGTCTGTCTGTCTACCACGGTCCAAGTCTGCTCTTTACCTTTGAGTTTGTTATGCTTTCCATCTAGAGGCAGAGGGTTTCCCAGCAACAAAGCCCCCCTCTAAACCGACCTTGAACTGTAGCAGGCAGGAGGGAGGTGACCGCTGCTACCTGACCTGCCAGTCCCAGGTCCATATCACCAGTGGTGAGTTATCAGTTACTACTACTACTATCAGACTGCATCCCAAATGGAACCCTATTCCCTTCATAGTACACAACTTTTGACCAGGGCCCACAGGGCTCTGGTCAAGGGTAGTGCCCTATACAGGGAATAGGGAACCATTTGGGACACATATTTAGTTACTACTACTATCAGTCTGCAGAGCAGCGCAGCCTCATGTTCCGGCACGCCGTCTGTTTGCTTTTGGCAGCCAGGCCTTTTGTGGCTCTGCCTTTTGTCTGTGGTGGCCTGTCTCATGCCCCTGTGTGTGTTTACAGGGACGGAGGATTCTTATACAGTGACCTGTGGAATGCCTCTGCCCTGCTTGGCTGGAGCACAAAGGAATGGAAGTGGCTTGTATTGCTTGGGCAAGTACACACCATCACAGATCTGCATCAGCCTCTGTCACTTTAGCCTGACGTAAACAACCAGAAGCACAACATATAAAGGCAAAACAACTTCATACCAAATCAAGTCTTCAGTATTTGCATTTTGATTTATAGACATATGGAAGTCAAGGGATTTTTCCTTTTGATCAAAGGTTAACAATGTGCTATTATTTCCTTTGTACCATAGGACCAGAAATGTCAAGTGTCCTGCGAATTAAGACCACAGCCACTTTTAAGTCTGGCACAGGAAAGTGCAACTTGAAACGTAGTCAAGAGAGACTGAAGGAGAGCCTGAACGCAGCTCACTCAGGTACAGAGGTTTCTAACACAAGTCCAACAGCTCCTCATTCGTTAAAACAATGCAGATTAACCAGGCACTGCCTACATTTAATGCAACAAACTTGATAACAGGAACCAGACCTCGAGGCTGCTTAGATTAAAGTAAACTGAGAATGAGCCAAATATGAAAGAAATACGTGGGGGTAAGTAGTGCGGTCTGAAATGTTTTGAATGTCTCAGCACTGCACATTGTCTGGCAGTGACAGGGGAAAATTTAATTAGCCATAGCATGCCTTTCAGTTGGGCCCTACCCAGCCATCAATCAAACTGACTTCCGATTGTTGGATTATTTTGTTTCTCCAATGGGTTCCGGCATTGTGCCATCTCAAAGGACACAATTGGTTCAAATAAAACTTTTCCCAGTCTCCTCTCTTTATCCCCTTGTCCAAAGGCAACAAAAAGAGCAGGGGGAAAAGAGTGCATGTTCAACCGGATACACAGAGAAGTCACTGCTTTTTAAAGAATGATTAGAAACATCAGTACTTGAACACACAAAGGATATGATCTCCTTCAATTGAAGTGTTATGACATTGCAGTTAAGTTTTAATCCTCACTCTACCTGCTACAGGTGGACAGTTATAGACCAATATAGTTATTCAGTAACATGTGTGCTGTGTGTGTGTGTCTGTGTGCATACATGTGTGTGTTTGTCTCTGTGCATGCATGTGTGTGTGCGTGTCCATGTCCTGTGTGGCTGGCCGTGTCCACAGACAGCAGGTCCCCCTTCACGGAGAACGTCCAGTTCAGCTATGTGCGCTTGCGCTGCAGCTCGTCTGGCCACCGGATGCGGAGCCGCCACGGCAGGAAGGCGGGTTACGAGGAGGAGGTCTCCTCCATCACGGCTGAGTTTGAGTTGGATGTGAACCTAGAGGAGGTAACAGGTTGGTCTCTCTGCCCTGCCCTGCTGTAACCCCAGTCCTCTGGCTGACACTCTGCTTTCTGTTTCTCTCTCTGCTCTTGCTTTTCGTCACTAAACAAGCCAAACATGTTAAAGTATCTCCTGTTTTGACGTGGCGTTTTGAGGTGGTGGGATCTTTGGGGAAGGTGTAGGTTTTGGAGGTTTCCTTTGTATACTGAGGGAGCAAGTGGTTGATCAATTTGCCTGGTGTCTGTGTGTTGGAATTGATATTTTAGTACCGGTATGTGTGTGTGGTTTTGTTTGCGTGTGTATTGTGGTCTCATTGCGTTGCGAGGACCGTTTTGGTATCTGGTGTTTCTCTCAGCAGAGAACTGTGACCTAGGCTGTGTGCGTCGACGCTCAGAGAAGAGGCTGAGGAAGACCATCCGTACCCTGAGGAAGTCCATCCACCGGGAGCAGTTCCACCTACACTTCGCTGGCTCTAACTACGAGCTGGCCAAGAGGCTGGCCCGGCCGGTGGACCTGCCGGAACACTGTGGGAAAGGACAGGTGCTGGTGGACAGGAAGTGTGGTGAGTGAGCATCTTGAGTGTTCTGAGTATCATAAGATATAGGTATAAGTGTATCTATAAGATGAGTATCATGTTGAACATCTACCTGTATCTGTTTCTGCCTGTATCTGAGCCACCACTGGGGCCTAGCACAGGCCAGAGCCTAGCCCTGGCTCCCACACAGAGTAGCTCAAAGTCATGTCTTAAGAGTCATTGAAATTGGCCATGCCAGCGAGATATATTTAGACAAGTTGGTTTAATGATTGGATTTGGAGCAGGTGTTGGCCAGATGACTGCCATATTTGGGTGCAGATATGCTGTAATGAGCTGGTATGGGGAGCGCTTGCTCGGCTCGCACGGAGAACAGAGAGGCTGTTGTTGGCTTGCTCGCAGGGTGAGGAGATCTTCCAGCATCTCCCTGGGATAAAGTGCAACAGAAGGTGTGATGGCTGCCGCTAGCTTTTGCTGTTGTTGCCGCTGGTCCTATTTAGTTTTACAGCCATAATGGAGGAAAAGTCCATTAGCTTTAATGGCACCCTGTCAACATCAGCGGTGGAAAGGAGGCTGGCATGTGTTTTCTCTGGCAGAGGGGAGGGGAGCAGAGAGCTGCGTGCCCCCAGTTCAGGGCCTCACAGTAAGCATAGTAAGCCCACTGCCTGCTGCTGCGCTCTGCTTGTCTGTCTCAATGTGGTCAGTAGAAGGGGGTCAGTTTTCTGTCCACCGTTAACTCTGTAATGATTGGTATTCTACCTCTAGAGCCCCTGTCTTAACCTGATCCAAGCCATCTATTTAAGAGGTCTGAAGACTATTGTAGACAACCTCTCAAAGCTGTTCTAGCCTGCCTCTGTCTTGATCCAGAGCTCTCCTCTCTTACTCCCCACCCTTATTGAGGTTGAGTGGGTGAGGATGGAGGGGGTTTTGTGGGGGAAGGATGGAGGGGGTTGAGTGGGGGAAGGATGGAGGGGGTTGAGTGGGGGAAGGATGGTGTTTGATCCATTCTGGTTCTTAGAGCTTTTTAAGAATAAAGACTGCCCATAGCTGGTTAAATGTATTGATTTTCATACAAGAGGGAAAAATCATGAAACTTAATCATTTTTGGCGGAAATAGTCTAATTGTTTTACAAACCAAGCATCTCTTAATCTAATTTAAAATAAATGTAATCCTTAATCCAAGGTATCCCCAGCAAAGCGGACTCTCGCTGGTGTCTGTTTCTTTCTGCCTCCAAATAACAGTAGACTAACATGTTGTGCTGGATTCAAATGACCCTTAGCTGTTGTTTTTGCTTTGTAGCTTGTTGTTTTTGTGTTTTATATGAGCTACTTACCTCATAAGTAAGTCGTAAGTCTTAAAACTAAAAGAACCCAAAAGAGTAAAGTTGCCAATGTGTAGGCAGTGGTGTAGACATGTAATTTGGAAGGGGGGCTGAATGGAAGCCGTAACCCCCTGCTCTATAAAGGAGCTATATTTTTCCCTCCACCCCTGGCTTAGCTCACTGAGTGCAGTTTAAACCTTTCAGTTTGCCCACTCCATTGTAAATACCATTGGGGCTCGTTGTCACTGCTTCAGTGGGAAGAGAAATCCTCCACAACAACATGGCCTCAGCCTCACTAGTACTGAGAGAAAAGCAATGCCTTCTTATTCCTCACTCTTCAAATATCTAGCACTCTTTCTCTCAAACCAAATTGCGAACGTTATGAATTCATGATATAGTACACGGCAGTATTCCAATAAACCAACCGGTGAAATATCCCATATGTGTGATCAGAGTTTTTTTCATTCTAAATAATTCATGATTGATCAACAACAACATTTGCATTTCCTTATGCCTCAACCCAGTATAAGAATCAGCTGTATGTTGGATTTTAGTTTCAGACCACTTAATGAGGCAGAATTACTGTATTACTATGAAAAACAACAATAGCCAACAGCAAAACGTGCCAGTATGTAGTATCTGAAACCCTGTGTACAAATATTCTCCTGATCTCTTTTACGTACAATTGTGCATGTTCGTTTTAAGATGGGAGATGATTAGGAAGTGCTGTTGATTCAAGCTGTGAGTTTGAGTGCTATATCCCCCCTCAGTCAGGGCCACTCTGCATGACCCCAGCCACTAAACTGCTGCGGAGAATTGACTTCAGCGACACCATGGGAATTAATTAGCATCAGCTGTTTGGGCCTCTGCTTGATAGGCGCAAGAAGTGACTGGGGTAGGCAGAATGGGGGGATTCAGAACCCTGACCCCTTTTATTGGGTTCAGCTCCTTACCATTGTGACACCATAGTGTTTGCCTATGTCATCAAATACTTGAATAGAGGTGAAAGGTCTTTTAAACCTCTTTGGGGCCATCAATTCGAGGACTCTATAGAATTGCCTCTGCATTTGAAAGGCTTCAAGGTTTTTTCCCTCTCTCTCTCTTCTCTTCTCTCGCTCTCTCCATCATATAAAAGCTGGTGGAGACAATGCGACAGTGGCTCCTCATGGTCATTCAGGATAGACAAAAGGCAGAAAAAATGAACTGCTCTTGAGAGAATTACATTTTCTTTCTTTTAAGGAAAATCAAGTTGCTGAGGCACATATAATGGATGTGCGTTAAAGCCTTTGTGTGTTCCTCATTAACTCATTATGGCTGGTTCTCTCCTGAAAAGCTCTTCTTACTTAGATTTTCCTGAGGGATATTTTTTAATGAAAATGCAAAATGATTTCACTTCACTGCTCTCTGTTCGGAGAGATGATTAGATATCATTTCCCCCTTTAAGAAGTTCTTGACATCACCAGACACACACAATAATTCAAACATGAATTAGAGACGTTGTTCTACAAAGTAAAACATGAAAAAGGGGGGAAATTAAAGCTGATGGTGTGCATCCCTATAATCAGGCTTTGCACGCTCTTGTGAGATAAGAGACAAACACTCCTTTTGACTGGCTCTGTGTGTGCTTTGGTAGAGGTGAGGGTGCTTAGGATGGTATGTAGAGTTCTTTCCCCAATGCACACCGGTGTTATGTGAAGTGTAAGAACTTAATAATAATATGCCATTGAGCAGACGCTTTTATCCAAAGCGACTTACAGTCATGCGTGCATAATTATTATTTTTTGTGTATGGGTGGTCCCGGGGATCGAACCCACTACCCTGGCGTTACAAGCACCGTGCTCTACCAGCTGAGCTACAGAGGACCGTACCAAACTTGTTTGATGTGGGACACAAATGCATCTGGGGAGCAGCTCAGTGCTCTTATGTCTGAATTTTTGCATAGCTCCATCAGGTCGATTTGCAATGCCTTTTTAACAGCTTAACACTGGGCCTCTTGTGGTAGGCTTGAATGCCAGTGTGTGTGTGTGTGTGTGTGTGTGTGTGTGTGTGTGTGTGTGTGTGTGTGTGTGTGTGTGTGTGTGTGTGTGTGTGTGTGTGTGTGTGTGTGTGTGTGTGTGTGTGTGTGTAACATCCCTCTTATCTAGCCCCTTCTGCCTCATTCCTCTACCTTTTTGCTAGTGAGCTGCACTGTTGGAACGTACTATGACAGGGATCAGGGAAGGTGTGTTCTGTGTCCAGCTGGAATGTACCAAGATGAAGAGGGGCAGACGTCTTGCGAGGTCTGCCCAGGGCCAGAGGTGAGAGGAAGCCCCAGGTCGGTTGGGGCGCGGAATATCTCTGAGTGTGGAGGTAAGGCTCAAGAGTTGAGGATATGAGTAAGCATGTATCTCCTAACTGTGTACAAGACAGGAGACGTGAGTCACCTTGGATACTTACTTACTCAACCATCATAATCATAAAGATAACTGCGGCAAAATACACTGAACTCCATCAAAGACCCTGGAATAGCTTTCCCTCATGGTTTGATCTTTTTAAAAAAGTGATCTTTAAACTAGTCTCCCAGTCAGAATCACATCCTGTTATGAGTATATATGAAATACACAGGAAGGAGCGATACCCTGATAAAAAATCTCCCCGCAGGCAGATGTTGTGCTTTGTATAAAGCCGTGTAAGCCTCAGAACGTTCAAGCCCTGTTTGAATTAAACAGCCACACCCGGCCCCTGCCCACTCCTGAATAAAGAGAAGAAGGATCCACCATGTTTTCACCTCCCCAAACACTGTTATCACAGCCAGTTTGTGGCTAAGCCACAGATCCCATCTCCTGCTTTCCCCACCAATAGACTAAACAAAAAAGAGCTATGGGGAGAGACAGTTTGTTAAAGTCAGTCAGGAGATATGAGAGAGGTTGTTCCCTGGTAGATAATGGCCTTGCATTACATCACTCCACTGACATCTGCTCTCCTGGCCTTTGTCTTATTGTGGTAGAGTGCTCTTTCTTTAAGTCGCTCTGGATAAGAACGTCTGTCTGCTAAATGACCACATGTACGATGGGAATGTTGCTTTGAGCAGACTGAGTGGTACAAGTATCCCTCTGACCAGTCCAGTGTTGTTGTGTTCCCAGGTCAATGTCCCCCTGGTCAGTTCTCCCATGATGGCTTCATCCCTTGCCTGCCCTGTCCCCTGGGTACCTACCAGCCAGAGGTGGGGCGCACTTCCTGTTTCCACTGTGGAGGAAACCTGGTCACCAAACACAATGGTGCCGTGTCCTTCCAGGAGTGTGAGACCAAAGGTGAGCGGTCAGCTTATCCATCCCATTTAGTTATGCATGTAAAGTCTGGGTGTACGTCCCAAATGACACCCTATTCCCTACATAGTTCATTACTTTTGACCAGAACCCTATGGATCCTGGTCAAAAGTAGTGTCTTTAAGGGAATTCCCCTGCAGTTTCTGTTTTATGGAAATATACTACATTGGTTTATGTTGGTGTATGTTGGTGTTTGAGAGGTGCTAAACCGTGGTACCACTCCATTCTGCTCGTGTAGTCCAGTGTTCACCGGGACATTACTACAACACCAGCACACACCGCTGTATCCGTTGTCCCATGGGGACGTATCAGGTGGAGTTTGGTCAGAATTACTGCATCTCCTGCCCAGGGAATACCACCACCGACTTTGACGGCTCCACCAACATCATGCAGTGCAAAAGTATGTATGTTCAGACAAGAGAAGTATGTGTGTGTGTGTACATTTTTGCGTGCATGTGTATGTATTTGTGTGTTCATGGCTTCACATTTTAAATGTATTTAATGGCTAAAACTAAAACTACATGCAGGTTTCTCTACTACTGTACTGTGCTCAAATCAATATTGTTCCTGTCCTGCTTTGGGATGCTACTGTAGATAATTAGCGTCGCAGCACCAAGGCAGCGTAAAATATTTGACACTATCCTGTCACCTCACAGACAGACACTGTGGGGGAGAGCTGGGAGATTTCACTGGCTACATAGAGTCCCCCAACTACCCAGGGAACTACCCAGCCAACATCGAGTGCACCTGGACCATCAACCCACCACCCAAGCGCAGAATCCTCATTGTGGTCCCAGAGATTTTCCTCCCCATCGAGGATGAGTGTGGAGACTACCTGGTCATGAGGAAGAGCTGTGAGTGTTTGTGTTTTTGTTTATGTGCGTGCGTGCGTGCATGCGTCTGTCTGTCTGTCGGTCTGTGTGTGTTTGTGTGTGTGTGTGTGTCGTGTTGGAGGTTAGGGCTTGTTAGGTGACTGGGTGTTATCAGGGTGCTACAGTATTAATGTGATTTCACTGCAGGTGACCAGATGTTGGTGATGAATGTCTTTAGAATTATAAGAGGGTGGCAGTGTTGGTAGGAGGTTCAGCATAATAGGATAGCACCTCTCAGAGATCATGGGGTACTATGGGCTTCTAATAGACCATTAGATCATGCCACATTCAGAGTAATGAATGGTGCTAGTGTTTGATTTGTCATAATGTGCCCATTTCCTCAATTCACAGCTCTCTCCAACTCTGTGACGACCTATGAGACCTGCCAGACCTATGAGCGGCCTATTGCCTTCACCTCCCGCTCCAAGAGGCTGTGGATACAGTTCAAATCGAATGAAGGGAACAGTGGGAAGGGCTTCCAAGTCCCTTATGTGACCTACGATGGTAAGAGACATCCTTATTGGTGGAAATATTGACATGTTGCTTTAAATTACACATGCTTAAATACAACAATGGATCAAGTGTCTGTGAAATGTAATTTTATTTGGAATTTTAAGTCTGGATAGGTCTACGTAATGCCACAAATGTATCACCTACTTCCAATTGCACAAATAATATAGAAATATACTCTTGGGTATGTTTATATATGATATATGTTTCAGAGGACTACCAGGAACTCATCGAAGATATAGTCAGAGATGGAAGATTATATGCCTCTGAAAATCACCAAGAAATTCTCAAGGTAAAGATTTCATGTATTTCCTGTGGGAAAAAGCTTTTGTCTGCCATATACTACCCTCTTCTGGACACAATAAGAAATTCAGGATGCAAACTTCACTTGAGCGCCATCGTAAAAATGTCAGATGACTGTTGGCTCGGTCTCAGATTGAATTCTAATCTGTACTAATTTTTGGTTTACATTCTTCTCAGGACAAGAAGCTTATGAAGGCACTGTTTGATGTATTGGCCCACCCACAGAACTTCTTCAACTACACAGCACAGGAGTCAAGAGAAATGTTCCCCAAATCCTTCATCCGATTTCTACGTTCTAAGGTTTTAAGATTCCTTCGCCCTTAAGAAGGCACTATCATCAAGTTACTTTGTGGATATCTCAGAAAATGCATATACCAGTTACTCCCTGCAGCTGTTACGTAATTCACTGACAAATAGAAAAGTGTCCTTTAGTTATCCTGTCTGTACAGAGACTGACTGAGGCTAGAGTTGACTAAGAGAGATGGACTCGGACACTTTCCTCAAATGGACTTCAATTGGACGTTCTGGGAATGGGTGGGTACTGGACTGTCATGGCGCAGACAAGTGGCAGCTCCTGCAATCACATCTGGTCTACATTCTAGAGCTAAATGTTTTGTACTTCGATACCACATCTATCTCTGATACTTCCATACACTCCTGTGTGAGCACTGTAACGTTTAGACAGACTGTCACTTCCTTTTCAACTTTCAGTCTCAGGAATAAAGCTTGAAGTGGTAAGCTGATTTGATTCAATTAATGAATGCTTCGATTTGCATACTGGTGTAACAACAACATCTTGAAAATAATTATGGTAAACGGAACTTTCACCAATAGCGTAGAAAGCGGATGAGACAAGACTCTTGATCAGTCTCAGGAATAAAGCTTGAAGTGGTAAGCTGATTTGATTAAATTAATGAATGCTTCGATTTGCATACTGGTGTAACAACAACATCTTGAAAATAATTATGGTAAGAGTAGAAAGCGGATGAGACAAGATTCTTGATCATGTATAAAAATTTAACTGAGGTTTATGCTAAATGTCAACCACATAGATAGTGTATATTTATAACATTAAATTCATGTTTCACATTTAGATCAGAATTGTTGACAGAAATATGCCTGAATATGAATAAAGAATATAGCACAAATGTGACCTTATGGTGGGAACTTTAAAGCACTACAAGGAATGTAGTGATACCACAAAAGCAATTATCCTTATGAATGTTTTGTATATTGTGTAAAAAGTATTAGATGAAAATGTTAACGTATTGTAGTTAACTGCATTCCTGACACTTGCGCAGTATCGACACATCCCCTCACAACCTGTATTTTTGCTGCCTCAAATTAATGTTATCGTTTTCCGCTGTCCTGAAAACATGGTTTTACTTTAAGAATTGCTAGACAGTGAATACACCATGCTACTGTGTTTTGAGTGAACAACAAATGCCCATGAATCAAGACTAGCTCTTCACTATGATCATTCAAACAGCTACCAAAGACTACTTTTCACTACTCATAGAAGTGAGATTATTGAGTGGTGTGACTAGAAATGTAGAGCAATATGAGGTGGAGCAAGTGAGATTATACATTCCAGATATGGAATGAGAGGTTTGTATTCACTTATGACTTAGCAAAGAAATGTATGTCTATATTTTTATGTTTGTACATATAACATGTTGTAAATAAAGCAAATAAACATAATATTGTGCTTTTGCTTTACTTATTTTACTTTCTGATATGCTATTTTCAATATAAGCAACAACATTGTCAAAATCAAAATAATACATTAATGATGTAGTTTTTTATATAGGTTCTATAACATTAGTTATTGTGTTATATTAGTTATAATTGTTTTATTTATGTATCTTGAATTAAACAAAACTATTGCCTGCCACACTGTCACCTATTGTAATTCCTAAAGATTCACATTCATTATATTTTCTGCACTGTATCAGAGACACTGTAAGAAAACAGAAGGGTTATCCGGCGTCCTTGGGACGACCCTACCCTAAACCCTAGATTTACCCTAGTCTCGCTTTGCCATACCTCCAAAATCACGTCGTTGTCATGGGAAGCCTGGTTCGCGACGAGGCTACCCTAACCATAACCTAACATTTACTTAACCCTAACCTTAACCAAAGATTTGTATACCTAACCCAAGACCACAGCCTGTCGTTTCCAATGGGAACAAATTAGTCATAGTGGGGAGAACAAGCAAGGAGTTGGGCATAGCCAAGCACGAGCTAGCGAGATCCTATTGGCTTCTGCATATTTCCGTTAGGGAACGCAAGTGCGCGTGTGCAACAACTCAATTCGCCTTTGCACTCCTTCTAAACAATGCGATTTCTTACAACTTTGGCAAAGGGTAAAGTCTGCAAAACTTAGTCTACTCTGTTCATAACAGATTTTTAGTTTGGGAACAGAAAACTGTATTGAGATAAAATATTTAATCGATGAGAAAATGTGCAGAATCTCGGACAAAATCCACCTCCTTCCATCTTCTCCCACTGCCGGCCACTGGGCTTCCTCTCGCTACCATATTTGGTAGTGAGCGGAAACGCCAAGCGGATGCTTCACATTTATACATCCGGTGAAATATCTGTCTCATTGTTCTATCTGTGCCTTAATCAATTAACATTTCAATTTTATAAAGAGAAATAGTAATGGCGTCTTTTTGTAGGCACTAACTCCGCCATGGTTCGTGGTAGTGTTTCTGGATAAACGCCGAAAAATAAGGTCTGTGGTAAACACAGATTTAGGAGATTTTATACGTTTTGTTCTATGAGATAATCTAAGGGGGGTAGGCACGTCCCAACCATTCCGGATAGCAAGGACCCTCAAAGAAAGGCCATCATTGCTATCTTTTTTAGTTCCGACAAGCTGTTTACCCGGGGAATACTATTTACACGCACAGGAAGTGATGTCATGCAGTTGTCAGCTGATCGGTGGGAGGAAATGTTTGATGCTAGCAGGTGCTAGCAGAAGGATTGTTGTCAGTTGAAAAAAAACAACCTTTTATTTGATTTCAGGATCTCGTTTCTCCTTTTTCTTAGTAGGCTGTATTCTGGGACTTCAACATAGAAAAATTATGTCGGGCGTCGCCTTCAAACTGCTCTCTCTTCTTGTTGGTTTGTTATTTATATCAACACAGACGACGGATGCTAAGGTAGGCTCTGTTGTTCAAGACTGTCATCTGCTTTATAGCTAAGTGCCCTTTCGTCTATTGTAATTTAATCCGTTTTATTTTGACATTGTTTAATGTTAGTTGTTGGGTCAGCTAGTTAGTTACTGTAATTAGCCAGTTAGACAAATCTGGCTCAGGTTAGTATGTCCTTTCATTTGACGACAATGGCTAAATTATCTAACTAGTTAGCTGGTAACCTGCTCTGTAAATGTGCAGTTAATGTGATTATTCCATTGGCTGTGTGAGCTTATTTTAGAAGCCAGTCAGCTAGTTAGCTAGTTATATCACTGTTTTATGGCATTAACGGTTCTCTGATATCACAGCCTGACCATTTTCCCCAACTTTTCCCTTAGAATTCAGAGGATATTCGGTGTAAATGTACCTGCCCACCGTACAGAGACGTCGATGGACAGATCTACAAACAAAATGTATCTCTAAAGGATTGGTATGTTGTGTTGTCATGTCATTTACAGATGATTACATACTGGTCGCGTTCCACTGCTTAGACGTTGCCAGATCGTACAACGCCTGGATAGGTATTTCACCTATCAGCTAATCACACCATATGTTATAACAATCTGTCAATCGATGACACAGTCGAAGATGTGGCACACAACCATTTGGTTGATGCATGCAGTAGAATGCGACCACTGTCTGGGGTGGGGTGAATGTATGGGTTGTCTGATGGATTAGGCTAACTGTAATTTTATACTGTCATATGAATGATCTCAAATCATATTTGGATAACTGTTACTAACTTCAACCTCCCTGTGCTTTCAAATAAGTATTATGATTCAATTGTGTATTTGTTTTCAGTAACTGCCTCCATGTTGTGGAGCCAATGCCAGTTGACGGAAAGGATGTGGAGGCGTACTGTCTGCGTTGTGAATGCAAATATGAGGAGAGGAGTTCTGGAACCATCAAGGTAAGTCTGGGAAATCTACCAACCAGTTAGTTAGTTACTGTAACTAACTGTACCGTTGCTATCCTGCCATGTGGTAAAGCAGAGAGGAAGTGATTCTTCATACTTTCATGTGGATATTTTGGCTTAAATTCCCAACGGCAGAAGGACAACAGGCAAAGTAGGTTCAAATTGAATTGTATTCAACGTTCCTGACACACAGGGGACATTACGATTTCGGCAATGGGATATCACTCAACGATGTTGCCTAAGTGGGATAGCATCGGCGCATGCGCTCTGCTACTAACCAGTCAACTCTGTCTATTATTGCTGAGCTGAAATGGAGTCAATAGTTGCATGCAGCCCAGGCCTAATGGGTTAATGAGTTTGTGTCCACTGTGTTCCAGGTAACTATCATAATCTACCTGTCCATCCTGGGCCTGCTGTTCCTCTATATGGTGTACCTGACCCTGCTGGAGCCCATGCTGAAGAGGAGGCTCTTTGGACACTCACAGCTCCAGAATGATGATGATGTCGGGGTATGTGTGCATGTTGCCCATCCTAACTATAGTGGTGGCCTTTAAGTCAAAGCAGTTGTTGTAGCCATGACATTTTTGTTGTTTGATTGTGGATCTCGTATTGTGTGATGTGTTTGCGCAATATATGTGGTGATGTCTCATGCTGTAAATTGATTTAAATTGATTTGATGAATAGCTTGTAGATAATTGTTTTAGGAAGTGCCCTTCTCACTGTAATGTCTGTCTCTGGGTTCAGGACCAGCAGCCTTTCGCCAACGCCCACAACGTATTGTCTCGTTCGGCCTCTCGTCCCAACATGCTGAACAAAGTGGAGCACGCTCAGCAGCGCTGGAGGAGGCAGGTCCAGGAACAGAGGAAGTCTGTGTTTGACCGCCATGTGGTGCTCAGCTAAACCCATCCCCAGGAAACAAAAACCCTGGGTGAAGCAAATATAATTACTGTGACTGTGTGGTCCCTCCTTTTTATTTTTTTCTTCTTTTGACTGATTCTTTCCCCGACTTCCGAGCTTCATCCTCATTGGTGTTTTGTTCCTCAACAGGACCTGTATTTCATGAAATGTGATCATATAGCTCTATATATTGAGGAGGTGATCATAAAGGGTCTCTACATATTTAGGTGGTCCTCTGTAGCTCAATTGGTAGAGCATGGCGCTTATAACGCCAGTGTAGTGGGTTCGATCCCCGGGACCACCCATACGTAAAAATTTATGCACACATGACTGTAAGTCGCTTTGGATAAAAGCGTCTGCTAAATAGCATATTATATTATATTATTGAAGGGGGGTGTTGCATTTGAGACCTTTGCCAGTGTATGTATGACTTTGTATACTTTCTGATTTAATAATACTAATAGAAAGTAAAAGATGTTTCAGTTTGTACCCCCCCAATGGATAATCTGTGCCAATTTGCACAAGCTAATGTTAATCATTGGCTTCTGATAAAGTAGAAACAATGGGTGACCGTATGCACTCCTTTATAGTAATGTTGGCAGCTTCTGATAACAGGAAATGATTGCCATTTCACCAATGAAATTAGGTGAGATATTTGAAGGTAGAGTAAATGACAAACAAAATAATATCTAAGATATCATACCAAAATGAATCACTCAAGCTAATGAAAATGTTTTCAATAAATATAACATCTGCTACCTAAACCACGAAAGATGGGAATGAGTTGTAAAATGTCTCCTGTCAAAAAGCATGTTTTTTTAAGAAGTGATGTATAAACTTATTTTGAACCTTTTACCCTAAACAACAGTTGATGTATGCATTTCATTGTGTGCTGACTGTGGTGTAAACACTCCTGTATCATGTTCTCCTGTAAGGCTAAGTATAATGTAGAATTTGGGAGACATTTGGATGACTGTTAACCTATCATCCAATGGTACATTTAATGTAAACATTAGTCCTCTCCTTTGAATATATGTGTGTTACTGTAGTCAGAGCCCTCAGCTGTCACTGTAGAGTAGACGGACACCATCTCTACACCTGGTTTTGCTTTCAGCTTCTACTCCTCTCCATTTAGATGCATTTGACATGAATCACACGTGAATGAGATCCTCCTTTGTTTGAACTTTAAATAACTTTTGTTGTCTTATCTGTTAGACAGTCTTGATACCACCATCTGTCTTTTACACTGATGTAAATATGTTTTTTAATGATAATTTAGGATAGCTGGATGGTTGTAAAGTTGGTAGAAAATGCTACTGTTGGGTGGCCTAATGAAAGTGTTAACTCTTATCTGTGATAACTTCACATTTGAAATACATTTCTGAAATATTTATAATGCTTTTGTTTACCACTGACACTATCAAATTCCTGCACCATCCACCAGGAGGCGTCCTTCAACGTAAAGGGTAAAATACATGAGCCAAAATTGATGATCGCATTGATAGGCGCACAAAAACATATTGCACTAATGCCAACTTTGATAGGCGCTCAAAAACATGCGCACAAAATGGCAGGTCAACTATACCTTAGGAGTTCTATCAATATGATCATTTTTGGACATAGGTCTTTGCTATGCAGAGGGCAATAAACAGGAATGCAACAACTGATGAGAAATGTCAATAAGCAATGGAATTAAATTGTATTCATGCATTAGAAATCCATAATTCATAAGAAATGTCAATAAGCAATGGAATTAAATTGTATTCATCCATTAGAAATCCATAATATAGCCCAGAGGAAACTAAATCTGGACGAAAATAATCAGTCTATTTCGCAAGTTCACCATTGAACAATAGACCATGAAGTAAAATTACAGGATAAGTTTGCAAATAAAAGTGATCTCTAATGACAATATTTTGATACCATACAAGACAATAGTGATAATATATTCACTTTTCAATTACTTTTGCAGAGCTGCCGTCATCGTTTCCTGTTCTCTCCCCTTTTATTTTTTTCTTTGCATTTAGTCCGTTATCCAGAAAAAATTAGGCTACACTCGGCGCAGAAAATTCAGATTTAAGGATACTCGGCAAGAGAGCTACATTTGCGCTGTCAAAGAATGGATTGTTGAAAAAATACTCCAATAAGTGCATAAAGGATAAGGTAAGAAGCATTTTCCTTTTAATTTGTTCATAACGTAAACCCATAAATTCTAGTTTTAACTTAATATAATGCATTAACTGTTTTATGAAACTGATCCTTTCATTTTCTGTTTTATGAAACTTGCGTGGGCAATAATGAAGAAAATGTAAAAAAATTGCCACAAAAATGTTGACATTTTTTATGAGAGTGACTTGCTGGGTTGATACAAAAACCTACGACCAACAACAGTTTCCCCAAAGTTGTTTTATTCAATACAGTAACCTCAAAATCAACTGTTGTACTGTGAACAGAAGCTAGGTGGCGCCTTAGGCCTTTTATATAAACTACCGTAAGTACCCAATCTGGCATCTTAACTGAAATAATAAAATATACATATTTTGTACCATTTGAATATCAGTCAATATGGGAGGATCTGGGTGAATTTGTTTTTTTCTTTGCAGTATGCATTTATTGAAGTATTACTTAAAATGTTGCTTTATGTGTGGGGGAATGCAGGCTTCTGGAAGAAAGTAAAAGTATTAGAACTACTCTTTCACCTGAAACGCTTTCAACCTGAATTATTGCATGTCCAAGCAAAAACAATACTCCAAGGTACTTCCCGTTAATAGGGCCCATCCTGTGTTTTAAGGGCCAGGCTCTTATCTGTCCCTCTTTGGTTAACGACAGAAGGAGAGGGTCTGTCTCCTCAATCCCCTATTCAGTGCCTCAGTGTCAGACAGTGGGAATCGTTTCAAGGCTCATAGAGACTGCATCCCTGCAGGAGAAGCTACAGTCAGTACCTTCCCAAGGTCTGCCTGGCCATGGTCAGGCTAATATTATGGCTGCTGTCTGGAGAAACCTTTCAATCCCACTGAAATGCAAGATAATAGTTTATTTGTTCTTGCAGAGCAGTTACTCTCTGTGATGTGGAAATGCCTGTGCTGTAAATTGATGATGGGTTATTTGGATATTATTTATTCCTGTCTATAACAGTACAATGATTTCCGATGTTTAAAATATGAATTATTAGACATCTCTTGAGTAAATACTGTGGTTAGGGAGGCGCACATTGTCAGAGTAGAAATCTCTTTTATAAGGGAGAATAACTGTTTCCATGCATGTGTTTATCCTGTAAAGGCCCAATGGAGCCGTTTTTATATCAATATCAAATCATTTCTGGGTAACAATTAAGTACCTTACACACAAAAAAAAATGTAAGTCGCTTTGGATAAAAGCGTTTGCTAAATGGCATATTATTATAATATTATTTTTACCTTACTGTAACAGATTTCCATTAAAATGGGCAAAAAAAATGATCATGCAAGAATTTTGCTTGGACTGTCTGGGAGTGGTCTGAGTGGGGGGGGGGGGGGGACTTAGAACTAACTGTTATTGGCAGAGAGGTTTGGAACTCTCTTTGTTATTGGTCTATTAACCAATTTACCACCTGGTGATGACACCAGGCAAGCCGAAACTCCCACCCATGCAAACAGGCTGATTAGAAGGTCCTGTGTAGATTGTATTGTCAACCAGCAACTATCAGGAAATAACACTGATCAAATGCTTTCACACTTTTGCAGTATTAGTTTCATCAGCTGTTATACAATATGATACAAAACACAGATTAAACAACATTTTGACTGCACTGGGCCTTTAAGAAAGCATCTGGAGCAAGAATTAAGACAATGTGCAGGACATTCCTCTCCTTTCAGTATGTGAAGCTGACAGCTATAATACCATTAACACATTGAACTAATCAGGATGAAGGCTAATGTGACTGGAGGCTGCCAATTTCCTCCATGATAACAAATACAGCACAGGATCATGTCCTAAAGTGTTTCCCCAATCCCAACAGTGCTGCAAAACATATGCAGGTGTTTATTAGAAATAAAAAATAAATCCCATGTGTGGTAGTGGCTTTAGATCTGTGGAAATGCTTCTTATTTGTACATGGGGGAAGCAGTAGCAGATCTTTTAAAAGTATCATGGCAGCCTTTGGTAGCATGGTTCTCCATGGGTCACAGACTCCAAATGGACTCCATATGAAGAGAACAGTCAAAAGGGGCCATAGTGGTACCTGAGGCTGTAGCATTTATTACAAGTATGCATAATCAAACACTCACACACACAGAATAGCTTACATGCCTCTGGTAGCTTTCCTTGTGACAACAAAAAGTTCCGCTTTTTGTCCATTTTGAGATATTTCTCAGCAGCAGAATGAGATCAAATCATATTTTCGCCCTATGATGCTAAGGGACAAAAGAAGATGGATACAATTACATTATGATACTTAGATGAACCACTGAACAGTCTACAGGCCCTGAAGCTTATTTTGATGCAGATTGGTACTGTAGGGGGAGAGGAAGTATTTGTAGAGCGAGTCTTGTCATCGCTCTCTTCATTAGGCCTTAGGGCAGTAGTGTTGGATATACATCATCAACCTGAGAGGAATCGACTGCTGGAGTTAAAGGGTGCCTTACGACCTGTCTTGAAATGTAATATGTTGTTCCTAAAAAAACTTATTTATGTTAAAACAGAAGCAGTTTAGACTTGCGATTCAATCAGACCTTATGCTGTTTGGCTGCTTGGAGGATTTCGTATGCGACTGGCCCATCCTCATTTCCATAGCTCCCTTGACCCGCTGGCCCTTGGCTATTTAAAATCTCCAGATGCCAGAGGAGAGGCTCTCACAGGAATATTTTGTGGTAAGGGTGTGGTGAAAGCTCAACAGTGTACTGGAGAGGGATACTGTCAACTTTCTAAGGCTTTTGTGGGTTCACTGAACATGACGGATGGATCCTACGCAAGGTACATTGGACCTGTAACGGGTCCAAAAAACACTGGCCTGGTCGTATGTTTTTTCCCTTTGCCTGAATGGTTTTAGCAGGTGTAAAAGGTGGAGAGTTGTAGACCTCAGGGAGAAGATTTTAAAACAGATTTATGCCATCAAAACACTGTGGACAAATTCCTGAGTCCAAGCATTGAAAAAGGTTGTATTCTCTTGTAAAAGTAGCCCTATACAAACAATAACAGTCTCTCTGTCATGGTTGTAGAGGGGATTTGTCAATGAATGTTTAAGTAGTGCTTATTTTGGTTTGGACTGTATTT